GTTTTTTTTTTTGTTTTTTTTGGTTTCTTGGTGTTTTGCTTTCTTGGTTCGTTGTTATTTTGAGGGGCTGGCAAAAAAAGTGGCAGGATCTAACTCTTTGCCACTTTTCCCCCCTTAGGCATTGCAAATTTGTTTGTGGTTGTTTCTGCTTGCTTTAGGTCTCTGGTTCCATTAGAAACCATGTAAAAACCAAGGAAAAACAGGTATCCTTGGGGGAAGGTTAGGGGCTTGGGGCATGGATTAAGCAATTTTGTTTTTGACTTATTTTTGAAAACATGCCAGAAGACTATGAAAAAACAAAGGCAGCCAATGAGTACGTTTTTTGATATTGACATTGCAGACTATAAACCCCAGTTTCCCCTAGTACATCCCAATATATCCCACCCATATGGGAATGTCTCAAAATGAGGCGAGCCTTTTTTTTTTAAGTAGCGTTTTGGGGGTCAAAAAAGGCGCGCCTCATTTTGAGACGTCCCCATATACCACAGAGGTCTTTACAGGCTTGGGTGAGGGACTGAGGGATTGAATTAGATTAGATTGGATTAGATTAGATTAGATAGATTGGATTGGCTTGGCTTGCTTTGGATTGGATTGGATTGGGTGAGGGACTGGATTAGATTAGATTAGATAGATTGGATTGGTTTGGCTTGGATTGGATTGGATTGGGTTGGGTTGGTTTGGACTGGATTGGATTGGATTAGATTAGATTAGATAGATTGGACTTGACTGGATTGGATTGGATTAGATTAGATTAGATAGATTGGATTTGAGTGGGTTGGATTAGATTGGGTTGGGTTGGATTAGATTAGATTAGGTTAGGTTAGATTGGATTGGATTTGGTTTTGTTGGATTGGAATTAGATTGGATTGGATTGGATTGGATTGGAATGGAATTAGATTAGATTAGATTAGATTAGATTGGATTAGATTAGCTTAGATTAGTTTAGATTAGGTTGGATTGGATTGGATTGGGTTTGATTGGATTGGATGGGGTTGTTGGATTGGATTGGATTGGATTGGGTTGGATTGGATTGGATTGGACTGGATTGGATCAGATTAGATTAGATTAGATTGGATTGGATTAGGGAGTGTACCAGTATACCACCAGTGTGCCACCAGTATACCACCAGTATACCACCAGTATACCACCAGTATACCACCAGTATACCACCAGTATACCATGGTATACGGTCAGTATACCATAGTATACGGTCAGTATACAATGGTATACGGTCGGTATACCATGGTATACGGTCAGTATACCATGGTATACGGTCAGTATACCATGGTATACGGTCAGTATACCATGGTATACCGTAGTATCCCCAAGTAAACCCCAGTTTCCCCTAGTATATCTCAATATATCCCACCCACATACCACAGAGGCCTTTACAGCACTTCAATAAGATTGGATTGGATTGAATTGGAATTAGATTAGATTAGATTAGATTGGGTTGGATTGGATTGGATTGAAATTACATTAGATAAGGTTAGATTAGAGTAGGTTAGATTGGATTGGATTGGGTTGGATTGGAATTAGATTAGATTAGATTAGATTAGATAGATTGGATTGGATTGGATTGGAATGGATTGGGATTGGATTAAAATTAGATTAGATTAGGTTAGATTGGATTGGGTTGGATTGGAATTAGATTAGATTAGATTACATTAGATTAGATTGGATTGGATTGGCTTGGATTGGATTAGATTGGATTAGATTAGATTAGATAGATTGGATTTGATTGGATTGGATTGAATTGGATAGGATTGGATTGGATTAGATTTGATTTGGCTAGATTAGATAGATTGGATTGGATTGGATATGATTGGATTGGATTGGACTGGATTGGATTTGTTTGGGTTTGATTGGATTGGATTATATAGATGAGATATCTCTGGATTGGATTGGATTGGATTGAATTGGATTAGATTAGAGTAGATTAGATACATATATCAATGAACAGTAATCCAGGTTTCCACGAATGCTGCTTTTTCAAAGGAAGATTGTGTTGCCATAAAGGACAATGCTCTGTTGTAAGGAGCGAAAAAACATTCTGAAAAAATATCACATTTCAAAACATATTGCACTTTTGAAAGGGATGCTCTATGTCAAAAATACAGCATATTGTGCAGCAATATTGGCTTTTCTAAAAGAGATACTGCTCCTTTGAAAGGAAGGTTAGACATGTGGAAATAACAAGATTTCCTTTGAAACGGGCCCCCAAGGTGAAAGAGGTCCTGGCCAAGAATGTTCCTTATGCGCGCGAAGCCCCCAAGATTAATTTCGACCGAGTTTTTCATACAAAGGCAAAAACTCGGTCGAAATTAATCTTGGAGGCTTCTAGGCCAGGACCCCTTTCACCTTGAGGACCCCTTTCAAAGGAAATTTTGTTAAATGCACACTGTACTCCTCCAAAGGGCATGGTGTATCTTTTAAAGGAACATTTGATATTTCATAGGGATATTGTTCTGCAAAAACACACTGCGTTGCTCCAAAGGAAGATTGCACTTATGAAGAAGGGTATGCTGCATTTCTGTTTTGAATACTGCATGCATTTGTTGGCAGGTATGGGTATGTTGATGTATATTGTAATTACGTTGAAGACATCTAGGATATCCTGCAAAAATTGAGTTTTGTCAAAGGGACTCTGCAGCATTTAGCCAAGGTAAAGTGAACACCTGGACGCTTCTTCAAGCAATACATCCTCTCTAGTGGACATGAACACATCTTCATTCACAGTTTGGGTTTTAACACGTGATTAATTATAGTGTTTGACATGCTGAAAACGGCTGTTCCAACAAAAATAGTTTTTAGAGGTTTGAAAACCGCTCCATTTGGCATTTTTTTGAGCAGTTGAAAACGCTTCAAACAGCAAACACTCAAAATCATCAAAAAGATCAAAATTTGATCACTTTTAAAGACACTTTTTTTTTATAGCAAAAAACAAGTTACAAAAAGTTAGCTAAGAAGTTATGACTTAGTAACTGGGATATAACCCTAGGTTATAACCCACTTATAAACTAAACTTGGCACCAAAGTAGCGCGCGCGGTCTTAGCCAAAAGTAGACCCGTTATAAGGCAAAACGCTACTTCCGGGAATTTATGCCCCGAATTTCCGCGAGGCGCGCGCGCGCTAGCGCTATTAATTGGCCGATAGCTCGCGCGGTCTTAGCCAAAAGTAGACCCGTTATAAGGCAAAACGCTAATTCCGGGAATTTATGTCCCGAATTTCCGCGACGCGCGCGCGCACTAGCGCTATTAATTGGCCGATAGCGCGCGCGGTCTTAGCCAAAAGTAGACCCGTTATAAGGCAAAACGCTACTTCCGGGAATTTATGCCCCGGATTTCCGGCGAGCGCGCGCGCTATTTTGGCCGACTTAGCGCGCGCGGTCTTAGCCAAAAGTAGACCCGTTATAATACAAAATTAAAACGCTACTTCCGGGAATTTATGCCCCGAATTTCCGCGAGGCGCGCGCGCGCTAGCGCTATTAATTGGCCGATAGTTCGCGCGGTCTTAGCCAAATGTAGACGGCAAAATTAATAATAAAACTACTTCCGGGAATTTATGCCCCGGATTTCCGCGAGGCGAGCGCGCGCGCTACTACTTTTACTACTTACGACTTACTGACTTACTGACTTACTACTTACTACTTTTTACTCTCTACGTTCTACCTACTACCTACTACTATCTACTAACTACTAGCTACTAGCTACTAGCTACTAGCTACTACTATCTACTAACTACTGACTACCCACTACCTACCTACCTACCTACCTACCTACCTACCTACCTACCTACCTACCTACCTACCTACCTACCTACCTACCTACTACTTGCGACTTACTACTTGCGACTTACTACTTGCGACTTACTACTTTGACTTACTGACTTACTACTTATTACTTACTGACTACTACTACTACTACTACTACCACCACTACTACTACTACTACTGCTACTACTACTACTACTACTACTACCACCTACTACCTACTACCTACTACCTACTACTACTACCTACTACCTACTACCTACTACCTACTACCTACTACCTACTACCTACTACCTACTACCTACTACCTACTACCTACTACCTACTACCTACTACCTACTACCTACTACCTACTACCTACTACCTACTACCTACTACTACTACTACTACTACTACTACTACTACTACTACTACCTACTACCTACTACCTACTACCTACTACCTACTACCTACTACCTACTACCTACTACCTACTACCTACTACCTACTACCTACTACCTACTACCTACTACCTACTACCTACTACCTACTACCTACTACCTACTACCTACTACCTACTACCTACTACCTACTACCTACTACCTACTACCTACTACCTACTACCTACTACCTACTACCTACTACCTACTACCTACTACCTACTACCTACTACTACTACTGCTACTACTACTACTATTACTACTACTACTGCTACTACTACTACTACTACTGACTACTACTACTACGATCATTTTACTTCTACAAATTTGCTGGTTAACTCCTGACAACACAAGGGTGAAAAATGTGGATCTCTTAAACGGCGGCCAGTTGGACTAGGGCCGGAACATTTTGGGGAGCGGAAAATGGTTCTGCGAGATTTTGGCGATATCTGTTCTTATCTCCCCTAGTCGTCAAGCATTTTGCCATGCTTGTGTGGCATGAGCTTATCTGAGGTTTTCTATATGGTTTGTGAGGATTCCTGATCGTTTCTGTCGCATCAGGTTCCCCAAAAGGCAGCAGTCTAGTCCCTGTTGTCAAATCGCTCGGTGTGCTCGACCGTGGGCTCAACGGGGCATCAGACAGTCTGCCAGACTGTGGTCGTAGAACCCGCACATTTTCGAGCAGGAAAATCAGGAAAGAATTTTCAGCATGGTGATTCCGGGGTCATTCAAATCATTCAGGGCCTGTCGAATTCCGCAAGTGATGAGCTGGGAGCATTGGTATGGTGACCCATGTGCAGCGTGGAGCATGGCTGAGCAACTGCAACCGACTGTCACCAACAGTGACAAAAAAGACATTTCAAACAAAAATAATAAGACATATATAATAAGAACGATAATAGAAATTTCAACGTAATATATCGTAATATAATATAATGTAATATATATATATATATTATATCCGACGGTAGCATGATGAGAACTTCATTCCATCTTCGATCAGCCCCCTGTCGGTGGTGACTTGGGGTTTCCTGCGAGGTGCGGCCACCCAGCTGGGCGCGGAGGAGCATCCCGGTGCCTTTGAATGGGCCACGGCTGGCGAGGTGGGAATCTGGAATGATGTCAGTGACTTTGTCGATGTTTTGATTGGGTGCTGGGGAATTCTTATATGCATATTCCGCAGCAGTATGTGTATTTTTTGTAGTTTTTAATATAGTTTTTATTATATGTCGTTGAATAGTTTCTTTTGTTTTTACCAGTGTTTTTCTTGAACTGTTTCGAAACTTTTGCCAGTGTTCCCATTTCAGGGCATCATGAGGGATGCCCAGTGTGAAGCCTCACAGACTAAGTTTCAGCCGATCAAGTCAATTCATCCAATATGTTCAAGAGGTTCAATGCCATGACTACAGACCGGAAAATGATAAAAGATGACAAAACCAATATGGCAGTGTGTCAAAACCTTGTACCCCTGGTGAACATCAAAATAGCTGGTAAATGGATGTTCATCCCCCTAAAAATGGTATTTATAGGTATTGATCCATAGCCATATCAAGAAAGTGTATGAAAGTGTACCATGTTGATCAACATCATTCAACCCATTTCAACCCCCAAGATGACAAGCTGCAGGTTGCTGTACGAGGTCCACGGCTACGAAATTTTTCAGCTGGGTCTCTTCAACTCAGATCCGCATGCGGGCAACGCCTGGACCTCGGTTCCCATGGTATTCCCAATGATATCTTCCCGATTGATATCGACTGATTATATATGATTATATATGATTACATATATATATAATATATATATATATAATATCCAAACATATCCAAACCCTGGGAATGGATGATTGGGTTAGAATACGATGACTCTTGGGAGATCCAATATCATTGTTGAGCCGTTGGACCCTTTTTCACCATGGTGATGGTGGTGTGGAATGCGAGGAACACCGGGGAATCAGGTCTTCATGATGCCAGACGGGAAGCTGGGGCTGATCGACTACGGGGCCTGCATGAGGTGGTGGGGATGTGATGCCATGGGATGTGGATGATATTTGAGGCTTCCGAGCCACACATACCAATACACAATATCAAAGAACGGCTCCCGTGCATGTCAAAGGGAAAAGTCAGCCTGGTGACGGACACATTTTGGATCAGTTGGTAGTCATCATATGTCATCATTAGTCTCCGTTCATTCGCGTTGAGTGACCAGGCTCACAGAGGAACAGCGCTCCAACATTGCGCATTTGCTAATCGCCACATGCTGAGTTCCTGCTTCATGTCTTTGCTGACAGTTTCCCCAAACGATATGTACTGCTAAGAAGCATTGGCAGGACGAAAGCAGAAAAAGCGATTAGAAACCTTATGAAACCTTCAAGTGGTTCCACATGGGTCCACATGGGTCCACTATCAGCTGCCACGTGGATGCTCAGGCCATTGCTGATGAAGACGATGAAGCGGTGCGCTCCTGGTTGATCAGACTGTCCAATGGGTTACTTTAGAATTATGGCCAACCGGGTGACTGACTTCGATGGCCTCTCTCGCCAAAATGTATTTCACGGCGTTTTTGCTTCTGGAATCTCCTGGGTTGATCTTCGTAGGGTTCAAATTTGCTGATGCATACTGCAGCCTTCGTGAGACTTTGTGCTGCCTGGCTCAGAATCACGCGACGCGATCGTAGCCATAGGCACGTTTGTGGCGCAGCGGCCTTCTGGGGTCCCAAATGGGAAACACCTGCAGTGCTTGCTATGAAGCTTGACAACGATCATGCTCAGAAAGGTTTCAAGCGTAGCTTCGGAGACCCACTGGCACTCCCAGCATGACTTCTGGCCATTTGACCCACGGTCTTGGTTGCTAGAAGAGTAAGTGTGTGCCATTGATTACAGTGTGATAAATTGGAATTGAATTGTTTGTTTGCCTGAGACACTTCTTTTTTTTGACTGTCCAACACCCGAGGATCCTGATGAAGTGACTTGGCTGGACTTGAACCTGCAATTGCCACATTTCACGAACAGACTACCAGCTGGAACGGTTGGTGATGGACGGCTTTCCACCAAAAGCGGCTTCATTTTGGGTAGGTAGGTGAACCATGGGGAACAAACCACACCAATAAAATGGCATGCCAAAGAAAGATTTACATGCTGAGAGGCTGCACGATTTGCTAGGATCTTTGCCTATTCATTTTCATCCCTTTGACCCCCTATGTATAGTAACAGAAATTTGTTCTTTACCTTTGCGGTGGCTTGTTGATATGACGCGGCTGGCTAACGAGCTTGGATGCTGACCTGCCAAGTCGCCTTTTTAGCTCGCCTTCAGCTTGACTGCTGATCTCCTGAGATGGCGATCGAGCAAGAGAGAAGGAAAGCCATCCCTAGACCATCTGCCACCATTTCCTTTGCCGAACCTGCTAAAATCTTCCAAAGCCACAGCTGTTTGCCCGGAGAGTAAGATTCAGATGGAGCCACCCATTGGGCCCCCTTTTTTTAGAGGGACAAAATGTATCAAAGATGTGAAAAGCCTTGTCAGACTGACAATACACTAAGTACCTGACAGTTTCGGGACTGGCTACATTTGACCACCATCTGAGGCTGTTATGCCGTGTGGGCCTGAGATTTTGGATGATTTGGCTCAGGGGTGAACCCTCTTGGGGTCACATGTTGCTTCATTTGGGAACTTTCCAGGTAAGTTGTCCAAGCACAAGATGTTCTTGAATGTTCTTGGGAGGTGAACCACGGGGAAAAAACTTCTGAATACAAATGTTCCCCAGAAGCTAGCTACTGTAGCTTGGTTTTTCGCGTGGGAGGGTCTCTCAAATCATCTTTTTACATTCTCACGGCTTGCACCAAACCTGGCCTCACCACCGTGCCAAGGCACAAGGGATTGACAGTCACATTTCTGACAGATGACCCTCGGCATATCTTTATAATTCTTTATGTCTTCAGCAGTATGGCTTTGCCCGGCAGGAGATTTGGCCAAAAAAAAAAACGGCTGAAAACCGTATCCAAGGTTCACGGCGCCTGATCTTTCCACAGGGTCTGAGAAGGTTTGTTCTGTTCAAATCCTGCGCCCATGATACACAAAGTCAGCAAGGACTTGCACGATCTTGGACGACTTGAGTCAAACCTTCGTGGCAAATGGATTGTTGGTTTATGTTGGTTCATGTTGGTTCAAGCATTGAGTGTCTCCCCGTCTCCCCCTTTTCACGTGCTTCATCCGCTCTGATTCTCCAAGAGGTGAGGGTCTCAACAACAGCCCCTGAAAAATGCTAAGGAGGACAAGGAGGTGGATGTGTTCTTCAGAAAAGCACCCTTGGGCTTTCGAATGGCTCATAAGCAAGCGCCACTTAAGGTGGACTTCCTGTGCAGCTATTCCGTGCATTTGCAGAGAACAGAGCAAATCTGGTTTGACATTTGCCTCCGGTTGGATTTTTTCACTGTTTTTCCAAGATGTTTCTAGATCATTACGCAAGACTCCGGAAGGACCATAACTTTCCCTTGTATCCACTCGTGATTTCTTTCCATCATTTGCAGGTGGCCAACATCAACGACAAAGGCTGCGTAGTGGAGGATAAGTTGGATGTTCGACCGGGATGGATTCTCAAAGCCTCTCGCTGCAATGGGTAGATATGGGTTGGGTAGGGGCTCCGGGTTTGGGTGTACTAAGATATCTAAGATGTCCATGGCAACGCGGCAAGTCATGAGATATCATGAGATGGTGTGTTGTTTGCTTGTAGCATGGTTGGACACTTCAACTTTGGGAAGCAACAGTTGTATTTCACCAAATTTTACCATATTTCACCTTGCATGACCTTGCGTGAGACGTTCCTTGGCACCAGTCTCCAGGCAGTGAATGGCAACTCGCTGACAAATTGCCACCAAAAGGTGGGAGCTCAGATTGTCAAGGATGCCATCAAGGACAGAACTGCACCGTTCGGCAGTCACTGACAGACCAAAGTTGGAATCTGAGTTATTAGTTTGGCCAGTTCAAAATGATGTATTTTGATGTATTTTTATTTATTAAATGTATTTTAATGTATTTTAGTAAGTATCTTAAGCATGTCCTGCATGTGTTGGCGGGTCCCTCTTTTGAATCCGTTGTGGGATGTTGTGGGGCATTTTGACAGCTTCGCTTCATGTTCTGCAAGGAAGCCTTTGGCCTTGGCGACCGGGAAGAAGAAAAGGAGGCAGCCTAGGCTAGGACGGCAGCTCCCCATGGTGTCAGATTCCAGCTATCTAAACCCACTGTCTTCCTCCATCTTCATCAGTGAAGAGAATGCAGGGAAGTGGCTCTTGTCCAAGCTCTCGTCCTAGTGAGAGTCAAATTTGCCATTGGAGGGGTTGGGGCTGGCTCCGCCATCATATCAAGCTGGCATTGCATCCACAAGTCAAAACAAGCGGAGCACCATGCAGAACTGTAAAGTTGAAATGGCAGGTAGAGACTTGTGAGATCTTGTGAGATTTTGTGAGATAAGTGTACTCAGAGTACTTGGCCAATTGCCCAACCCTGTCCATTTGGCTTTCGCCCTTGTCTGGGCTCATCTCTTTCCTGCTGGCAGTCCAGGCTAGCAGGAGTCCCCTACAAGAGGGGGCCAAGAGATCCTGGCCAGATGGCTTAAAATTGTGAATCCCACGATATCCCGAACTGGAAGATTTAAAAGCAGTGCTTAGTAACTTCAATGTCTTCAATGAGCACTTCATTTTGAGCCCTCGCCTTTTTTAGAAGCAAGTTGCGGGGTTTCGGGTGTCCAGATTTAGCTTTCTCTTGATCCGACCAGAAAGTAGTTTGAAAACAAAGTGGAAGTATGTTGTTAGTGACGACATCCGAGGACCAACATAGTTGTAGCCTTTGGATCCTGGAGGGTCATTGCACAGCTCCCGTGTTTAGATGTCTTGGTGCACCCGCAATGGCGCCAGTACAGTTGGCTCCGAAGGATTTGAAACATGAGCTTCGCTTCTCGATGAAGCATCCATGGACGCAGCATGAGCGCGATGAGTGGCAAAACAACCGCTCGCGGTCATGGCATGTGGCAAGTTTCGCCGTCTCTCAGGCCACAGACTGCCATTTATGCCATGTGAATCCATGTGATGTCGTGGCTTCAGGTACCTCCAGCGTTTTGGGCTTGCGGCTTTCGAAGCAAGAACCAGGTGCCCCAGCGGCCCCAGCATGCCAGGCTTTGGAGGTGACTGGATGTTGATAGGGATAGATCATTATAGATAATCAATGATAATCATATAGATATCTAATACGGCCTATACATTGTCTATACTATTGAGTTAATTGTGATATATGATGATATATGATATATTGTGATTAGGGATGATTAGGTTCAGTTACTGTAGTTAATGTTGGCTCCAGGAAATCTTCCACTTTTTAAGTCGCTGTAATTCCTATGACTGGAGCCGCAGGATCCACGCTTGGCGTTGCTGTTGGCACATGTCTTCTTCAACCGGGGTCCATATGCCTATGACATGAGCCTTGGCAGCATTTCTTGGTGACGATGAATTCATGGCTGGTGGAACAACATGTTTCACCGATCTTCATGATCTTCACAGCTCACATGGCAACACATGGATACATATGGCAACATAGGCTTGCAGGCCAAGGTCAAGAAAGCACGATTCAGACGAGATCTGGACATAGAAACAAGTCTAATTCATGTTGGAAGCGATCTTGGCACTATGTCTAGAAAATGCTGTGCAGATGTGTGAAGCACATGAAAAGTCTTGGAAAAAGCTTTCTTGTATAGCTGCAATCTTTTGATTTGGTCCCACAGGAATCGTTTGGCGCTGAAGGTTGGTATGCCGGCAGTTGGCCCAGGGAGTTCTGGGGTGCAGTCAGCTTCAAGAAGCTGTCATTTTGGCTTCATTCAAGCTGACTTTACGATCTAACACATTTCCAGGTGCTATAGTCCGTCGTTTATTGTATATGAACATGTCATGTGGGCACAGATTCCTCGCTCTCATCCTGTACCATGCTGCAATAAAGAGTATCCGGATGCAGAGATCACCATAGATCACCGAAAGTCTGGGAGTCTGGTTCAGCAAGCTGCAAGCTACTGTGATATAGGAACCAGCCATAACTTTCAGAGTTGCTATCATCCCAACCGCCACTGCTGAAGGTCGATGCCGACATTATGACCTTAGACTCTTATTTGAGGCAAGGAACGGTAGATATTTTTGTTGACCACGAGAGATTTCTTGTCTTTAATCAAACATTATGTGCAAACAGAATGACGTTTACTGCAAAGTGCCACCACGTGCTCTGCAGTGTAGTAGAATTTAGCGTTCATATATGTTCATGTGATTTCAATGATTCACATTCATCATTAACTATTTCACACACACAAATATACTAATATACTAATAACATATATATATAATTATATAACTCTATATGTTCTTCATTTGATTTTATCACATTTTGGCCGGGAAAAACATCAGACTAGACTGCAGGGGAGGTGAACTTGATGACATCGAGGTGGGGCCTGTCCTGGGCGGTTCATGGATACACGTGAATTGAATGGGAATACAGATGCATACAATTGCGTTGGCAACATATGTATGTACATATTATATATATATATTATACAATGGGTGTCGGGTCAGTTTGTTATGCAATCATCCTGGATTCAAGAGAAAGCTCTGGTTATGTGCCTGGAGGGTACAAGGCAGCTCGTATTAAGGCATGTTGCAAAGGCATGGCCGTACAGATGTTGCCGCAGGAGTTTCCTGGGCACTTGGTGATGCTCCAACGTTGTGTTACTCGGAGAATGCAGATGGTTTGCAGCTGCGGGCTTCAAATAAAGGGCGCCTTACAACGCGGCCAACAAGTTGACTGATGGTCGTGAATTCAATGAACCAGTTCTGCAAAATGTGTCAAAATGTATCAACACATGTCAATATATATATATATATACATGCATGTCAAAATGTCATCCCATCATGTGCCAGAATTTGGCTTTGGGATATGTTGCGATGTTCCTTGTTTGCTGTTTGGGATGCCCAAGTGCCTCAATTCAGGCCATGGTCCTTTCAGGGCTGGCTTTGGAGCTGGGTGCTGGACGCCTGTCCTCTGCTGAGATGTTAAAACCACAGGCGTGCACGGATATGGATGGGATAGAGAAGTCATGGAATGGGTTGAGTGGTTCGAATGAAGTATAATGAAGTGCTTGTGGATGCCTTCGGGGTATGGCAGAGTGAGAGCGGACGAACCAAGCATTTCATCTCGAGCAGCAGCTGGTGCGGAATCCGCGAGGCCAAACTTTGGCTACAACAGTGAGGAACTGCTGAAAAAAAAACAACACGTGCGGCTGTGGCTGAAGGTCACTGCTGTCAAGACCCTGCATCAAACAAACCTGTAAGGGACTGGTACGACTTGACCATACTACCTGACCTGCTTAGGCAACATGGTTCAGATTGCCAGCTACATTTTGTCAATTTAGAATGGACCAGCGGATTGGCTCAGTGCAGAAGAATAAATTGCAAGGATTCCGAACCTCTCAGTATCGTTTGTCGATGTTGACGGATTTCTAGGATGAACGGGCCATGATTTCGCCCGAGCCCTCTAAATTGTTGGTGCAGCGTATGTGATCTCCATGTAATGTGATATCCCAATGGTCCAAAAGGAGTCCAACATCATGATGCTTGGCAGCCTGGCCCCTCACGGTTTTTGCCCAACATACCTGTGCCATCCTGTGCCAAGGCTGCGGCCCTATCTGGATCGAGCAATCCATGTACCTCACCTTGTGCTGATGGCCTGTGTTGCCCAGGGTGCCTGTCATCCAATCTATGCTGTCACATTCTGTCTAATTCGATTCGAGTCCACCCCAATTGAGTGGGCACGTCTCGCCGAAGACCAAGAAAACTAGTTGCGTAGTTCGAGAAATTACAGTAGAGTAGACATAGTCATCACAATGATAGCAAAATAATATTGTTGGATATTATTGATCGACTGATCGGTAGCTTGTTGCTGTTGGATGATTTCCTGCAGCTCAAGTGTGACCATGGTAGTTCTGATCACCCGCCCTTCACCAACAAGTTCAAAACATAATCAACATGGTGGGAGTACATGACTGCTCAGTCACAAAAAGACACACCCTGGGGTTTTGCATGTGGATTGGCCAAGAAATGAGGGACCTTTTTTGGAGCACACGAGACGGCACCGCTTAAATTCTGAACCCCGGTTGGAATATGGTGGAATGATATTGAATGATGGCATTATGTAGTGATGAAAATGACAATGACTTACAATGGCGAGGATGACAATGCTGAGAATGACGCCGATGATCACAATCTGATGATGCGACGATGACCATGACTAAAGAAGCCATCATTTAAATCATGCCACTGCGAAGTAATAAGCAAGTAATAAGCGCACATTTGCAGAACTTGAGCAGTGGAGGGTGGAATATAGGGCATGCCTGCCGCGAAAGCACCATTGGGGATGACACTGACCCACTTGACCTGAAGAGATCAAAACTTGGTAGAAAATTAATTCAATCAGCTTAGGCTTTGGATGGCGTAGGCCAGAGAGAATGAGCAGAGTTCAAGGGCTACTCGGCTACTTGTTTGATCTTGTTTGATTTCAAGTGTCTTCATATTCCAATGCCAGGAGCGGCTGGAAAGTGGAGTGCAGACCTTAATGGTCCCGGCAAAACCACGGTCGACTTTTCGTTGAGCATGAAAGATGGACAGCATGGGTTAGGACTGGTTGTGCCGCAACCAGGCTCTTGAGGAAAAGACCGTTTGGGCTAGATTCCGGGAGACATTCCTGAAGACGAGCCGCACGAACGAAAATCCACGTAAAACCTATGAACACCTCATCATATAATATGTCATCATCCAAAATCGGCCAGGGATGGCAGGAGTGACAAGGTTTTATTTTCTTCCTAATGGGAAGAGAGTGACGTCATCTAGGCCAGGACACTCAGGACACCATGAGTTTTTCTTCGAGTTGCATTGCTGCAGCCAGAAGGAGCAACTGCAGAAACAAGCAAAACATTTGGCAATGGGAAGAAAGAAAGAGGCTTTGTTCGTCGGCAGACCTCTTGATTGGTTCACGCTATTGCAACATATCATGATCGCAAGGCGCACGACACTTAACATCATTGACCCTTTTCGAAAAGGATTGAATCCAAATGAATATGATGTATCTATCTATATATATCTATATATATATATATTATTTGTTTTTCTTATAGATGCATGTAGATGATGGCATAACCACTCGCGGGACGCAAAAGGATGCAAAAGGTAAAAAAAACAACGAGTCAAGAAAGACTAAGAAAGAGTCATGGTGATGAAGATGCGAATGGCTGCGTCCAAGCCGTCGAAGCTCTACACTGGGGCAGAGTTCAGCGATTCCCGGGAGCCAAGTCCAGCAGTGAAGACGAGTCTCTTTGTTTTCTTCGTATTTATTCGAGCTATTCATCCCACTGTGACTTGGCGGGAAGAACAGGTTGACAACGGGGGCTTGCTGTAGAACAGCTGTTCCATCATGTTCCATCTTTTCTTTGTGGGTGTAGCTGTTGTGTACACTTCTGTTTCGGGAATATTCTGAGTCATTACTCCCTGCAGGTGATTGATGCTTCGAAGAGCGTGGATTCTTCAGGGAGAAAGTGCCACGGCTGCAGTGGCCTTGTGAGCCCATGGAGATGGGTCTGGGCAGTTTTCTTTTGGATTTTTTGGGCTCTGGGAATTGGAAATGTTTGCAGTGGATGATTCTTTCAACACACAAAAGCGCTTCCACATCAAGCTTGGGTTTTTGGATTCTTCTGCTTTTCGCACCATCAAGAGATTGGTATTCTAGTAACCTTGAGATACCTTTTGTATCCTTTAGTAGTACTGAGACATGCTCTGCCTTTAGGTTGCCAGTCGAGCTTGAGGTACTTTGCCTATGGCCCCCAGACTGCCAATCTGGCAGAGGTGTTCATGTCAATGATGGTGGCCCAACTCGTATCAGTGAAAACGGGTGAGTGGCACAAGATTTGGAAGCCGAAACCATTGAACCTTGGTCAATCGAATTGTGCTTGCGTGGCTATCTCACAGGATCTCAAACAAGTCTCTGAAATGAAAGTATAGTATCAAAGTCGAATCAAAGTAGTATAGCCAGATAGCCATAGATAACCAGTCATGTAGGCAGCACATAGTCGATGCATTCAAGTCCTGAATCTTCTCTCACCATGCGCAGCTAGAAGTTCGGCACCAGGAAGATTTTCATTGTGATCGGTTTCCTCTTCGGTCTTGGAGATTACTTGGAGATGCGCAGTCTCGTTTCATTAGGTGGTGGGGCATACCAGATCCTCCTGCAGTCAAGACTTCTAATCACCGCCTTGATGCTTTGGGCAATCAGCGGCCAACGCCAGACGCTCTTCCAATGGAACCTCTTGGCTTTGGTCGTTTGTTCTATGTCCGTCTACATGTGTTCTTCACTTGAACAATTGCCGGCTTTCATCTTTACTCATATTACAACATATTCGTATTCGTTCCTTTTCCTTTGGGCAAGTTTTTCTTGAGGTTTTCATCTCCCGTCACACTAGGGTTGAACGGGGTTATACTCATACTGACTCATACTCCTCTTAGGGCACCGAGGTTTGGATCTTGCAGCTGATGAAAGTGGCTCAAGCCGGAAGCTGCTGGGCACACTGAATGTAGTTCTCAAGGTGACCGTTTCGTGTTTGGCGGCGGTCTTGACCGACAGATACACCAAACACTTCAAAGACCCGGTCTATATCCAAGCGATCCAGCTGCGCTTGTCTCGGACGTTGCTGTTGCTCACTTGATCCGAGCCAAGGTTTTCGCTTTTCCTGATCTGCCTAGAAGTACATGGAATGAATAGAACATAGTGTAATTAATGTATGTGTAATATATATATATGATACTATAACATGTTCATTCTCCTTTCGACTTGGGGTCATTGACCAAACAGAGGCTGTTCTTTTTGGTCGCCTTTGATGGCCAAACGCTTGAGCATGGCTTCTTCTATGGCTGGGATAGTTGCACCGTGCTGGTTGCAGCCACGCACATGCTAAAGGCATGGAGCACTTTATATCTCTTGGTATACTTGGATTCAGCTGCTGGACTTGAGCAGAGATTTCCATTCATAATCATTATATAACTGAACCATCATTAACATTTCATCCATCCAAAATTAAAATCAATGGAGTTGATTGGATGATTCACCCCACCAACCCCATCAAGCTGGCTTTCCAGGTCTATTCCCTACCCGGTCCTGGTCCTAACTGAGCCCTGGCCGAGGTTTTAAAGAACATGGGTGAGTCTTTGGCCGTCCTGGTCACCTATTTGATGGAGATCGCGTTGCCGTTCTGTGATGCGCCCTTCGAAGTTCGCACGCTATTGGCCGTGCTGGTGGTGATGTTGTCACTTGGACTTGAAACATGCGAATTTTTGCATATGTTTTCCATATGTTCCTATATTTCACGCTAGTTTTCACTATATATATATATATTTTTTATACTAGATTTTCCTCTTTACATCTCTTTACACAAATATTTCTATAGTTCTATTTTTTATTGTTCCCTTCCCTCCTCTTCATCACATTATTAGCTGGCCACTGCAGCAAAAATGGGTGTAAATGGCAATTTTACCACCCCAAGGGGACTGCAGCACACAACTTCGAGACTGTTTCAAACACGCTGAGTTTCTTCGCATTTGTATTGGTTGCGATGGAATTTGGTAGATCGGTTAATAGGCAACATTTTTTGCACAAGTGATCACATGTGAACCTTCCTGGACTTTGACTTTGTTCACTTTGTCCAGGACACTGGGCACCAAGGTCAGTGAATGCCTACATATCTTCAAAGAATGTCGTTTCTAAGTCAGCAAAGTACGGACAACTGACGGAGCCGCCCAACCAGCCCTGAAACTCCTGGGCTGAGCAAAGGCGATGCAGAAAGGGATACAAATGCAGAGCCTGCGGTGTCAGATTTTGTTGTCGGCATGGCGAATCGCCCCAAGTGACACACTCTGACAACAATACAACAATCATAGAATCACACACACACTTATATATATATATATTATATTAATATAATTTAGAATATATCCCAACAAACCACGTGTGGATGTGCGCTCCGACGGATGAGGTGAGCCCAAAAGCCTTGAAGGCTCTCACTGAGCACTTCCTGGAGGTCAGACGTGTGGCAAAGTGGCGCTGTACTGTGATAGAGCTCCAATGGTCACCCACATTCACCCACAAATTTCAATACCGTGGAATGGTTTGTTGTGCCTTCAACGGAGCAATACTGACTACCATGAGATTCAATATGATTCAATATGTACTAATGTACTGGTCATGCCAGCAGAAAGAGGATTAGCATACTGTATATCACAGTATATGGTTGTATGGAACATCTTAAGCTCAAGCCAAAGCATGATGAACTTGTGTAATTAATATGATGTGTAATGTAGTTCTGGAATGGTTTGGACTAGATACTCGTATGACTAGATTACCCAGCAATTTGACCATCGAGGTAGGGTCAAGGCCCTTGAAACACATGAGGACTGGGTGAGCGTGGGTGAACAAATGTGAACAAGAAAATTCAACTTTGATGGACCTCTGCGAGTGCTGAGCCAGGCTTGTCAAAGGCGGAGCGCTATTCATGGAGCTCAAGGCTGGAGGACGGGTAGAGTGGAACTGTGCTTATGGATGGGCACAGCATCTGCATAGCATCCACACAGCATGGAACACACAGCATTGGCTGTGGCCGTTTTTTGTGTGTTGCCCCCATCATGCCCCATCATGCCCCATCATGCCCCATCAATTTTACTCCGATCCATTTCTTTCGGGTTCATTCAACTGAAACATACTGAAGCCACTGAAGCCTGTCAAAAGGTCAAAGCAGATACTACCTCCGTGGCAGAGTGTTGTCCCTCGCTTGGGTTCGTAGGACGATCTGCCAAAGCAAGAGCGGATCCGAGCAAAGAACTCGGCGTCCAGCATGATTTCCTACAAAACGCCGCAACCTCAACCGTTGCTCTATGGTACGTAGATACGTCAAAAATAACATGAATATGCATGAATGATATCCACCTTCGATATCCTACAGTGGAAAGGGAAGCAAGATGACGCTGCTGTTCAGATACCCTTGGAACAGCACACGCGCCACTTTCTGCGCAACAAGCATGTGACTGCTGTTGTTTGCGCATTGTCCTGCCGCGACCCTCTTCTGTCAGCAGTGGCACGTAGCAGAGGGTTGAAGTTGCTGCGTCCCTTCATCCGGTGACATGCCCGCAAACATCATCCATGTTTGCCTCTGCACAAAGCCACCTCACATCTTAAGGCTTTCAGATGTTTTTCAGATGGGAATCTCATGAGGCTATAGGCTTTAAGCATTTGAATATAATATATAGATATAAATTGATATTATAATATACATCATTTTTTAGACGTCAGCAGCATCCCGGCCTTGTGGCTGTCGCATGTCCGAACTCCTACCTCGGACCCTGGCAGCGAAAAGAATGGCGAACGCTGAGCAAAGCGTCGATGACGAAGCTTTCGAGGACCGCGTCCGACCTTTGTCGATGCGGAATGTCTCAGGACCTTTGGGTGGAAAATCTTGGAGAGGATGGGCAGGCTTTTGGACGGCAACGTTGTTGGAGAACATGGGCAGCATCCTTTCGGGTCTCATCTATCCGGACCTCGCAGTGGCTTCGATGAACGACGGGGTAGATGTTTGCGCCGGAGCTCTGGCCAAAACCAAGCGCTGCTATGACGCAGTGTCGGCAGCAACTTCGGCCGCATCGCTTTTTGGGCTCATTGGAGCAATTTGCAGCTTATTTTGCATTCCCATCGTTGGAAGTGCAGCTGACCATTTCGGCCGTCGTCCATTGCTTATCTTCTCCTTCATTTGCTCAAAGGTGCCTACATTGACCCTTTTGTGCGTTGCCTATGCAGATGTGTCCATCTACTACTTTTTTGCCGCCCTGATGATTACGGCAATGGTTCCTAGCTCAATGCTGTTCTGGTTCTGGATAAACGATTGCACCACACCAGACGAGCGTGTGCGCATGTTTGGCAGGCTCAGCGCCCTCACCAACCTCGAAGGAATTGCAACACCCCTTTTTGTCATCCTCGTTCATGGCAAGCATGCCGTCATTCTGCTTGCATGTGTTCGGCTGGCAGCTGTCCTTACCGTGATTTGTTTCGTGCCAGAGTCGCGCCCTCCAGCATCGCTGAGGAGCAGTTTGTGTGCAAATGGTCGGCTGGCATTCCTGAGCCGCTGGCAAGGGGTGTCGAAACTTTGCTCAGACAAATCCTTACGAATTTTTCTTCCTTTGGCTTTCGTTGCAGCTGGCACAGGAGCCGGCATAAATGCCATTGCCTTGTTTTTCTGCAAAGCCAAGTTTGGATTGACAAAGGAGACCTTTGCTCCTTATGTTTCAGTGGGGACGGTGAGCAACGCAATTGTGCAGCTGATTTTGATCCATCCACTCTCCCGGATGATGGGTTTGCGCGGGCTCTTTGCATTTAGTTTGGTTGCTGGAAGCGTGAACTGCATCCTCTACGCGTTGGTGCCGAGCCCTGGCTGGTTGTATTTGCTTGCTGGTCTATCAGGCCTTGCCAACGTGGGTGTTCCAGCAATCCAGGCCCTGATGTCGAACCTGTCAGAGTCCGTGCCCGGCATGACACCAGGGGTAGCCTTGGGAGCTTTGCAGGCAGTGCAATCATTGATCATGATCCTCATCCCTCCAGTCTTCCAAGCTATCTTCGCTATAGCTGCAAGGGAGCATGTCTTGCTTTCCTTGCCATTTCTTGTGGCCGCAGCTGGCAATTTGATTTGTCTAGTTGTGCTCCTTTGCCTGCCAAAAAGCTACTTCCCCCATTCGGAGTGAGTCCAAGAAGCTGAGAACGAAGATGTCTCGGTGAAGGAGTCACCTGGAACCTTTGATGCATCGGTTCTCGGCATAGAATCTGGCTTCCTCAATAGTTGCTTGGATAGTTCTCTCGGCAAACCTGACGCAGAGAGTTAAAAGAAGGGAATAAAAAGGCGCAACCTGCTCTCGTTGCCTTGACATTTGTGGAAAATCCATGAAAATCCTTGAAGTCTTCGCAAGTCAGATCCTGGACTCCATCCATCTCCAGTTTTGAGTTTTGGTACCGCCGACATCCTGGTGCACCTGCCGATCCCGGCTCTCCACTGAAGGAATCGCTTGGTTCTTTGGCGCGGCGAGGGCTTTTTTCGGACAGATTGGACGTCACAAAGTTGGTCCGGAAACTTAGACGAACTAAGATGCCAGTGATTGCCATTGATTGCCGCTCGTGCAGGTGCTCCCTCCACCCCAGCCGCTAGTTTACAATTGTTTACATCATCTACTACTCATATATAGTCATTCCCTCCAGTGCCGGATTCTACTGTGAGGCTCCTGAATTTGAACCTTCTATTCTCTAAGAAGGTAAGCTGACCCTGGCACATCTGGCACATTTCCGCCCATATTCGTGACAAACAGGAGCGCATCAACACCGCTTCTATGCAGTGCTTTGTTGGTGATAAAGATGATAAAGATCTTTCTTGTGTTTCTTGGTTAAAGATTCTTAATATATAATAATATATAATAATGATAATAGTAATAATTTTAATAATAATATTTATATATATATATAATACGCAGAAGCTTCGGATATTCATATAGTATTGTAATGTATTATATAGTTGTGTTGTATATATTTACAATTATCTAGGCACACTCCTTTGGGATCCTTTATTTGAGATGCAGTTTGCCAGTATCCCTACGTAGGTTTCTTGGGAGGGCCCAGCAGCAACCATGGTCAGTCACACACCTCCAAGGCGCGGTGGGTACAAACATCGAAGAGTGGACCTATGGTTCCTCTACGGCGACCCTAGATCTAGCTGAGCAGTGGCAGTCTTGGCCAAAAAGTTTGGAATCCTGAATGTTGAGCTGGCTGTGGGCTGCTGAATCATGGTAATTACAAAATATATATATATATAATATATATATATAATATATATATAATATATATATATATAATATATATATATATGTATATATATATATATCTTGTACATGGCAGTGTATGACAGTGTATGACAGTGTATGACAGTGTATGGGATCGGGCCACATACTAAAAAGAATGTTTTCACCAGATTCAATGTTTATTTTTTGTTTCATTTTCACTCCTCCAGTGTGTACTTTATTGTATGTGAGTGTGCGCTTTTGTTGTCGACGGCAGTTTCGAACTTTTGTTGCTGGCAACCTATTACTCACATGCGGAAATGTTGGCCCGAGACATCATACGGACATGAAACTTTGCAACATTTACTTGTCGATTTGATCACAGAGACAAGCATTCCAATTATGTCGACATATGTTGGTCTTAGATTCTTAGATGGTCTTAGGATGTCTTAGGCACCAGTCTTGGTGTTGGATGTTTGGACACGCAGAATCTGACTTTTCAGACTCAGCATTTGCTTCTTGTGCCAGCTTAGCTGCTTCACTGGGGCGTCCCGTGCTATGGCCAATGAGTGCAGAGCCTGTATCACAAGAGAGCCGATCAAATGTGCTTGCACAAGTGGGTTTGAATAGAGCCTCAGCAGAGCAAATCGGTGTAGTTTTTTAATGACATATTTTGATATATTTTGATGCTGCGTGGAAGTAGGATCACAGAGGAGGTGTCGGTGTTTGGTGTTTGGCAGCAGTATGATGCGCATGTCTGGCTGGGAGCCACCTGCGAATCCTCAGGATTACGATGGAGGTACTTCAGCCAGACGATGCTTCGCCTACATTTAGGATGTCGCACTTTTATTGACATTGACAGTGAGTGCATGGATGTGCGAAATGGAGGCAGTTTGGGAATGTCCATCATCTACTTGGCTAGTGATGCTAGTGACTTGCAGAGTGTGAGATGATGTGAGATGATGTGGGAAGTACCTTATAGTACCTTGTTGACATCTCAATGTATGGGGCGAGTCAAGTTGCAGTTCTGAGATGTGTGCTTCGCTTCAAGGGACAACCCTACCGAGGATCCTCCCTTTTAAATATGCGGTTTGGAAATTGTTGACATATGCAACTTGGAGGCAAAGGGACTGGCAGACAGTAGATGACAGTGGTGATGCCAAGAGTTTCCGACATGTTTTTTAAAGCAAGCATGAGATCATCAACTTTCTATTTTGTTTGCAGCAGCACCCCGCAACCACAACGTACCACAACCCTGAAGGTTGCAAAAGGATGCCAAAAGAAATGATAGCATGTTATTGCAACATGTTTCTCACATTTTCAATATTTTTCAATTGCACGGCATTCCATGATCCTATAGTCAGAATATGTCAGAATTCTATGAGCTCCCTCTTAAGTGCGGGTACTCGTCGTGGATCGGAAAGGATGATGCTCCATTTAGATATATTTAGATCCATTATCCGTTTAGATCTTTCTGAATCCATCGCATTGGATTGGTTCCTTTGCTATCCATTGCTATTTGGGGTCCATGAGGTCCGGACCTTTGTGCTGGCTTACCTCCTGGTTCTGGCTGGCCAGTCCCTTGCTAGATTGCATATCCCAAACATTCCCAAACAGATGGGAGTGAAGTGATCAAATTCCACTGTTTGAGCGCACGGACAGATTTGGAAATGCGAAGTCATCGAATTGCACCTGTTTTAAGCGCCCGAATAGAAAGGAAGAGTAGAAGTCATTCAATTTCACTTTGAGAGTGTAAATAGAAGAAGAGGGGAAGTACAAAATCAAATCACGCTTTTTGAGCATGCGAACAAATGAGACGACGGGAAGTGATCAAATTCACTTTTTTTCGAGCGCATGAGAGAGAGAGGTGACCACGCTTGAACAGGGAAACCATTTAAAGCCAGGACACCCGAAAGTTATACATACAGTATAAGATGTTGTACGATGTCAATTGCGATGTTATAGGATGTTTTTAGATGTCACCAGTAATGATATAACAATTGTAATATATGTTTTAATCTTCGTGCTGAAATAGGACGGTCCTGCTTCACTCATAGGCAAAGTGATTATGTGATCGTCAACTAGTGGAGGGGGTGTTCCTTGGGAAGACGAGCCAAATTAAACATCTTAAACACGCCAGGCTCGTGATGTGCACCTTTGAGCTTGACACGGACCCGGCGCTGGCTGCAGTTTTAAGAATAAAGGTGGCACGCCACATGATTCAGGTGCATCAAACAATCATTCCCAGTTGCAAGATTCCAACGATGCCGTTTTGAACCATTTTTTACTGATTAACTCCGAGAAAACACAACATGTAAATATCATGTATACAGCGTATATGCACACACTATCCATCGCCATCCATCCATGCGATCCACCAGTTCTTCTCCACAATGCGTTGGGGGAGAGAGGCAGGGTGTGTGTCATTGCCCCGCATGGGAAGGAGAAGCGACTCAGAGCAGAACACCTGCACCTGCAGCAGCAGTTGAAAGCAGAGCTCTCAAATGAAGCCCACTTGCAATTGCCCGCCCTTGCATATGTGTCATTGGGTCAAGATTGGAGTATGGGCCCGCATGCGGCTATAGAGTCTTTCAACCTTTCCATTTTGGGACCCAAACATTTTGACCTATACCCGTTTTATTTTTATCTTGACCTATTCACTCTGTTACTATCCTTAATTATCCTTGCCTCAGGTATCGAATTCTGACCGTTTGCGGTTTGTACAGCATCCAAATTCAACTGATCTAAGCCTTGCATAGAACGAAAGACCACTCCAAGCCTGCAATTCAGTCGGCGCCAGGTGCTAGGCAAAAAAACAGTGTTAGCTGTTAGCATGTTTAAGGGGAGGATTTTGTTTGCCACTGGGGACCCCCCAACCTCGCAGCAACTAGATTTTGCTCAGGAGACCTTCAGCCTACTGCTGGCATCAGGATTCAAGGAAGTGAACGAGTACGGCTCTCAGCTTTGGAGACTCACAGCCGTACAACTGCTGTACATTGGAGTTTCATGGAGTTTCCATATGTTTCCATGCAAGTGAGAGGGATGCAAGCACTGAAGAGCCTGAGCAGATGAGTTGAGCAGGGTCATGAGGAAAAAACTGTATGGATCTGTATGGGTTGTTATCAGTTTGTTATCCAGATATCCATGCCGAGAATGCTGGATGATACTGATGATACTTGATCAGTAGATTTGATACGATTGGCATGGCAGGAGTGATCCCTTCGCCTGGGACTTTGATGCAGCTTGGCGGTCAATGGCTTCAGGTGCAGGTCACATTTTCATGGGATGTTCTGATGTTCCTTTGCGAAAGGACACCTCAGGCGGGTGTGCTTTGAGATCAATTCGTTGATGAGGGGACGAGCGGCAAGAGTATCTATGCAATAAATTTGTGAAGTATGATGATGGAAAGAGAGAGAGAGAGAGAGAAATGACTCATGATGACTCTATAAGTCAATGCCGAGGGCGTTCTGCACAGCCGAAGTTTGATGCCTCTTGGAGTTAGTTCAAGGTCACGGTTGTGCTTTGTTGTGCGTTTTTTCTCTTGTTACCTACGGTAGCCAGGTCACGCCACAACTGGATGTGTATGATGATATGTCATTATAACTTTGAGCTCATGTGATATCATGCACATTTCAAGCAAACATGGCTTTGAGAGACAAAGTGTAGGTCAGGCAGTCCATCGGCAGAACCCTATAACCGCCTATAACTTTGTCATGAATCTGTCCACTAGTGACTTGACCCGTGACAGCAAGGTTCAGCTTCACCACCGTACCACGGCAGCGTATGCAACATGTTCTTTTTTTCCCCCCAACTGTGTTTTCACACATTGATGCATTATTGGAAACACATACATTTTTGTCCGATCATTTTTTTGATAATCTTACTGTATCTTGCTGTACTATTTTGGGAACGCAAGGCATTGTTTGCTTGTTTTGGCCATGTGGGCCGTCATGAACAAATAAATAAGACTTGGTGGGAAAGAGTGGGAAAGAGTCATTTGTGCCTGAGTTTCCGCAAGTATCACTGCTACATAATACCACCACAAATCTTGTATTGGGGGACTATGGCTTGCACTCACCTGAGTTGACTGGGTGGTTGTAGGCCTATAGCAACCTCTGCCATGGCTTTGCAGCCGTGTTTAACTGTTTACGGTGGGACATTCTATGTTCTTGAACGCAATAACGCCAGAAACAAACGCGAAAATTCACTGAGTTGAGTCAAAGGTGTTTTTTTTTGTTGTTGGCTACTTCGGAAGTACTGCGGGCCATTTGTTGGCACTGACATGATGCATTCAGCAGATCTTGGTTGTTCTCTAGCTGTAGCTCTTCTACTTCAGATTTGATGGCAGTTCGATTGGACACGCTTTACACACTTGGAGACACTGCCCTGAGCTACTGAAAGTATCGCTAAAGATCTTTAAAAGGTCCACTCAAAGAAGAATAGACAAACAAACACAGTTCTACTAGTACATGCAATTTCCTTTTCTCTCAACAAGTACATTTTTAAACATTTTTTGAGCTCAAATCAGCCGAAAACAAAAAGGTACCAACTTGGCCATTGGGATTTCCAGGTAGCGTCCATCGGCTATGGGGACATGGCGCCCCTCACGACCTCAGGGCAGATCTTCTGCATCATTTTCACGTAGCTTGGCGGCGTCGAGGTACTGCTGCTTCTCGTGCTTCTCTAAGTTGCCAAATGTTGCCAATATTTGGCAGTGTGTCAAAACCTTGTACCCCTGGTGAACATCAAAATAGCTGGTAAATGGATGTTCATCCCCCTAAAAATGATATTAATAGGTATTGATCCATACCCATTTGCAGCCCTGGGTGATTTTCGTGCTACTGTCTCGGTTTCATGTTACCATATTGTTACTTCTGAAAGTTCTTGCAGGATACTGCCTTGTGCTTAATCACCAGGCTGATCGCAACGCCGGGACTGGTGCTGACCTACCTCGCTGCTGCCCGCAAATCGCTACCGGGCCGCCTCAGTTGCCAAGACCCATGGAATCAAACTTGAATGGCAGCTGGTGAGTTAAAATGCAAGTGTCGCAGCATGTCGCAGCTTTGGATCCTTCTTGCTGTTTCAGGCTTGTTGATTTCCTTGATCTTTTCTGCCAGTCGAGTCAGTGATAGCCAGTGACTAGATGTGATCTGTGAGGGCAGTGCTGTTCTCCCCATTTCTCCCAAACTTCGGATGGCCATGGCGCCATGGCTCCAACTGAGGCTGGATTTTGTCTATTTGATGGCCATGCTCATGGATGAGAGGAGCCTCGGTGAATCAGTTCCTCATAGGCCCTCGGGGCAATGTCAGATATTGACATTGATGATATTGTTAAATGATTTCACCAGATGTCAATGTCCAGCTTTTGAAAATTTTGATGCTTACTCAATTATGACTGACTTGCAGTACAGGCTTTGACTTCCCAGCCTCGATTGAGTGGACATGCCGATGGCTTTGACAGCAAGCAGTAGGAATTTCGTGCCCAACTGTCTAACTAGTTGGGAACGGTGCTGATAGGCGCCTGGTGGTTTTAGGGGTGTGTGCGTGAATTTCCCATTGGAATTGCATATGCAGCCTTGCACGCCGGTTTTTTGACGTCCCAAAAACATCAAAAACTACTTCAACCATTGAACAATTTGCTCATGCATGGGTGCAAGTTTCTCTGAATTATTGCCGCGCAGCTTTGTTCTGCGCCACATCCATTGCCAGACCCTTTGCTCCAATTTTGAGGAGCGGGTCGCCAAGTCACCAGTGCCTTTTTTTTTTGTTTTTTTTTGGAGCTTCCTTGGGAAGCCAGCATTTCAACGATTTCCAATCTGAATCAATGGTCTGTGTTCCACTGATGTTCGACAATCCTTTGATCACTGTACGAATTGTGGAAGCATATTCTTTCTGCTGATGATTCTCTTGAAAACAGGGAACTTTCAAAACCTTCGCAGCTTTGGACCATGCACAAGCACCATCAGCATAGATAGCAGTAGGCCTTTTGAAGCTGACAGCTGAAAGAAGCTTTGAATTTTGGATCTCCTCCCATGATTCTTGTGGTGGACGGCTTTTGAGCAAGCAAACCTAGAATGTCGGTGTTAAAATAAATGAAAAGACAGCACTTGTTGGAATATCTTCCGGTGGGCCTATTGTTTCAAAACCTGCAACTTTTTTTTTTCTGAGCGTAACATCATGAGCGCAACATGAACGTTAACATCCCACCCCACCCCACCCCATGATCAACGTAATGTCATGAGCATAACATTAACGTTAACCTCCCACCCCACCCCACCCCACCCCTTGATCAACGTAACATCATGAGCGTAACATGAACATCCCACCCCACCCCATGATCAACGTAACATCATGAGCATAACATGAACGTTAACATCCCACCCCACCCCATGATCAACGTAACATCATGAGCATAACATGAACGTTAACATCCCACCCCACCCCATGATCAACGTAACATCATGAGCGTAACATGAACGTTAACATCCCACCCCACCCCAACCCACCCCATCAGCCAGAGAAACACGTAAAAATAAGACAACAAAACACCCAGGCGCCCTGCAGCGCCCATGGCAACTAGTTTCCTCCCTCCCTCTTTTTATCCCAATAGAAACATATTGTTTATAAATAATATGTAAACAAGATATGACATGACAAGCTACTGCACTTCTATATAATATGCATACCACGAATCACATCTTATTTACAGTAGATGCGTAATTATGTTGTTGTACGACAAGTCTTGTGTTGACGTGCTGTGGGTCCGGTGACTCCGTAGGGTTCAACTCCCTGCATCACAATGTGTGGCGCGGCACGAGGAACATTAGGATCTTCCACAAGTACGATAGAGATGATTCAGGCCAATTGAATCTTCCAGAATTCATGGTGGCCCTCAACGATTTGGGCTATCCCGCAGCCTGACAGCATGTCAGCATGGTCACCGTAAGCCTGAGATCTGCTTCTTTCCTTTCATCGACAGGACCTCAGTAGGGAGCATCAAGTCATTGAGGGACTTGGAGGGTTTGCCACTGATTGGTCAGTCAACTCCCCGTCAATCATCATCAATCCTGCTCAAAGCTACTATGCTGCCTGAGGCGAGAGAAGAAGATGTTCGAATGCTCATGGAAGAAGTGAACATATGTAACCCAGTTGCAGGTATTGCCGGGAGTGATGAACAGGTTCCATATCACCACAAGTCTTCGATCCGAAGCCTCACCGGTCAGGTTGAGGTCTTTAGATTTTACGTATCGGGTCTCAACTCTTTGTCATTCTCCCCATCCTCCTGCTTCCTCCTTCTCACATCTTCTAACGTCATCCTATGTTCTCCTGTTGCCTGCCATTTTTCCATTTCACATGTTTGCAATGCTCAGCCCTGATGGACCCCAAATCTTGTGTATTTGTAAGATGCGTTGCACTTTCTTGGGCTGATGAGCCTCCACGTTTTTCAATTCTGGCGACACTGCTTCAGGTGATAGTGAGCTCATTTCAATTGAAGAATTTGGGCAAGCAATGCACCTTAGCTGCTTCATCCCCATAGCCCATAGTGTTGGTACACCTGTAGATTCGTTGCGTCAGAGGCACGGACTAGGGCCGAGAACAGAGGCCGCATGGCAATAGAACCTGGCAGGGTTCAATCCTTGCATGGCCAGGGGCAGTTGCCTGCGTTAGTACAAAATGGCAATAAGAACAGTGCCCCAAATCCAAATCCGAATCAAAAGATGCCATTTGTCATTGTAATATCTTGTAATGTGATGGGCAGACTATGGGACAGTGCATTCAAGAGTTGTAGTGTCGTCTCTCCCCGAGCTTTCAGTTCTGCTCCCTGGCTAAGGGTTTTGCTGGAGCATTCTGATGCCAAATTCCGGAAACTGCGACATACGGATGCTGCCTTAGTTTGATTCTGCAGTTGTCCTTAAATCTTTATGTAATTTTGCAGGTTGTTACATGTGGAAAGTCACATTTCATTTGGCAGTCCCTCTGCAGAGTTTTTTTTTGGTGGGCGTGTGTGTGTTTAATCAACAAATGACCACGCTAACATCATTCGTGCACTTTCGTTCGTTGCGGTCTTTGCCAACGTTCTTCGCGTCCTGCAGAAGTCTAGACAAAAAGTTGTATGTTGTGAGAACATCCTTCAAAGGACCATGACTTGAACCAATGCTCTATGACCTGCATTACAGATAGGCCAGATGTGGATTCATAGGCATTGCCTGACAGGTTTTGCTCCATCCATGGTGTTGGAGCAAGTAGGAATTGGCAATCAGCATTGCAATTGCAACATCAAGAATCAAGATGAATAAAGCAGCCATGTAAGTTATAGGCAATTAATTATAATTAATTAATTCATTTCACTCCCAAATTCAAGAAACAAGGCCGCCACCTTCTTTTCACCAATGCATATATGGACAAATCATGATAAATCTTGTATATTTATTTGATAATATTTAGATCTTGTGTCAATATCCATATATTATGTGTATATATATATATATTCGCACATGTATATATATATATAATACGAATATCCAGATTTGAGTGAGGCACTTTTGATCTTCGTGGTGGCCTTGATTTGGCTTTTTGTGGGCACCGCTACCTTCATGTACGTCGAGTCCTGGAGCTTTGTGGAGTCATGGCCAGAATTTCTCATGATTTCTCATGATGGTTTATGATAATCATATTATGATATGATATAATACATAATAATACATGATTATACATGATGAAATATGATAATATATGATGATAGATGATAAATGATAATATAATATATGATAATATATGATAATCATATTATGATTTGATATATGATAATATATGATGATATATGATAATATTTGATGATTTATGATAATATATGTTAATAAACGATGATATATGATAATATATGATGATATACAATAATATATGATGATATATGATTCGATCATATATGTTGATACATGATAATATATGATGATATATGAGAATATATGGTGATATATGATAATATATGATGATATATGATAATATATGATAATATTTGAAATATAATTTATGATAATATATGCTGATATATGAAAATAAATGATAATATTTGATGATATATGATAATATATGATAATATATGATGATATAGAAGAATATACAATGATATATGATAATTTTTGATGATATATGATGATACATGATAATATATTATTATATATGATAATATATGATGATATATGATACTTCCGAGTATAGTGATGTATATTATTGTATATTGGGTAGTATAACTTTAGAACCCCCCCATGAATCATCAAGCAACAGGGGTTTTGAACCTTGCTTATCTAGGGGGAAACTTCGCACAGCCAAGGAGTCCATGTGGTTCTGCTGGGAGACGTCAATGACCATTGGACTGGGAGACCTAATTCCTCAGACTGACACTGGTCGCCTCTCAGTTGTGACGGTGGATTGATGGTGAGATGAGAAGTTTTGACTGTGTAGATGCCCAGGGTTAAGCCCGTCGAGCCCGCTACAGTTCAACTGTGATTCGCTGTATGATCACTTTGAACTTGGCTTTGTTCTGCCCGTGATTCATGTCAAACACGTGGGATCGTGACATGTCAATGTAAATATAAATATGATTAAAACATGCATTCTTGGTACTGGTTGATCGGTACAGAGTAGTCTATAGTCCATGGAAATTCGTTGATTTCTCTTCTATACCTTTTTTTCTTCTTGCTTCAGGATTACAGCATGTGATATTATGTTGATTTATGTTTGCGTTTGTGAAACTGAGGCTGGTTGAATGTGATCTACAGCTTCATTGGCCTTGGTCATTTGTCCCTGCTGTTGCAGATGCTCGACAGTAGTCTTCTTGAGCCCCCCGATTTTCGAGCTGTGCAAGAATAGCGGCGAGTTCCAGCACTTACAGTATCTTACAGTATCACAACCTGACAATGAGCGGTGCATATTGAAACCTCCAAAGTATGAGCTTATTTGTCACTTCTTTGTTCAACAAAAATCAAACAAGATGGTATCTTAGACTTCAATAGACTTCATGTTTCTGAGTCTGTAAGACACTGGTCATGGCAGTTACGTCGCCTGGAAATGAATGTGCAGAGAGCGGCATATAAAGGTCAGTTGCCCGCTGGTGATCTCTAATTCTGCATTCTATTTTATTATATTTTTTTACATTTTGTTGACCGTGGGTAGGTACCACATTGGATCTTGGCCAATGTACAGTTGTGGCTAAATTTGTGCAGATTGAAACGTGGGCCTAACTCCGCGAGCTGCGCTGCGGTGGAAACTCCACACAACTGTGGCGTGCCAAGGAGCTTCGTGGACATGCTCCAGTTGCATACCTCGACTTTGGGTAGAGTGGAGAAGCGATTCGTGGAGGACTGACCATGACTGACCAAAGTTGGGGGCATTGGTGAGGTTCCCACTCGACAATTTCTCAGAATCGTCACGCAAAAAGAGCTGTCGTTGTGCACTTGCACTCCAGGGCTGCTAGGACAACATAGGACAACCACGGTCGGGTTGATGCTGGACGCAGTACGAACATCTCGACTCTAAAAGCCTGGACGGAACTGCAACTGCTCAGGGGGATACTACTACACCAACCGTCAAGGAGGTCAAGGAGGTGCAATCGCAGCAGAAGAGAATCAATAAGAGCTTCTTGGTGGGAACATGTGAAACATGTGGTAACAATGGGACTGTGCAGATTCTGTGCAACATCAGCCAGTTGTTGATGATGTTGATGGTAGTGGTTCCGCCAATTCATGTTGGCCTTATTGGTACGACGGCGGGCTATTACCATCAGTATGAGCATTTGCATCAGCATCAGCAAAATAAAATCACCAAAATCAAGAACCATCACAAGAACTTCATCTTCATCCTCCCCCTCCTCCTCATCATCATCATCATCATCATCACCACCATCACCGTCATAATCGTCCTCCTCATCCTCGCAGCCGCCACCGCCCGCCATCCCGCTCGCCATCCCGCCTGCCATCTCCAGCACCATCATCACATTATCAAAATCTTCCTCATTCTTCATCATTGCCCTACTCTTCCTTCTCCTGATCACCATGACTCATTACATAACATTACATAACTATTATATAACTATAATTATATAACTATACCTATAACAGTATAACTATATACCAGTAGTACCGCACAAGGCGGTGGCGGAAGTTTCAAAAATAGGAAACCTATAGGAGAGATTGGTAGTTGAAAATCACGGATGACAGAGCGAATCCACTGATGGACCGAAAGGTGGTTGGAGCTGTGTTTTTTGGAGTGGCTGCAATGGTTGCAGTGGTCACCTGGTCGGTCACCTCACCCACAACTGCTGGATGTAGTGCGGTGTAGTGCAGCTGTAGTTGTAGTTGTAGTGTAGTGGAGTTATAGTTGTGGTCTAGTGTAATTAGTGTAGTGTAGTTGCAGTTGCATTTGTGGTGGTGTAATGGGTGTACTGTAATGTAATGTAATGCAATGTGGGGTAGGGCAGTGTAGGGTAGTGTAATTGAGTGTAGTGTGGTGTGGTGTGGTGTAGTGTAGTGTAGTGTAGCGTAGTGCAATTAGTCTAATGTAGTTGTAGTTGTAATTGTAGTTGTAGTTGTGCTTGTCGTAGTTGTAGTTGTAGTTGTAGTTGTTGGTGTGGTGTAGTGTAGTGTAGTGTGGTGTAATGCAATTAGTGTAGTGCAGTTGTAGTTGTAGTTGTAGTTAGTTGTAGTTGTAGTGTAGTGTTATGTATTGTATTGTAGTTGTAGTTGTAGCTGTAGTTGTAGTTGTAGTTAGTGTAGTGTAGTGTAGTGTAGTGTAGTGTAGTGTAGTGTAGTGTAGTGTAGTGTCGCGTGGTGTAGTGTAGTGTCGCGTGGTGTAGTGTAGTGTGGTGTAGTGTAGTGTGGTGTAGTGTAGTGTAGTGTAGTGTAGTGTAATCAAGTGTAGCGTACTGTAGTGTAGTGGGGTGTAGTGTGATGAGGTGTAGTGGAGTGGGGTGTAGTGTAGTGAAGTGTAGTGCAGTGTGGTGTAATGTAATTAGTGTAGTGTAGTGTAGTTTTATGTAGTTGTAGTTGTAGTTAGTGTGATGGAGTGTAACATAGTGTAGTGTAGTGTAATGTCATTAGTGTAGTGTAATGTAATGTAGTGTAGTTGCAGTGACAGTTGCAGTTGCGGTTGTAGTTGTAGGTGTAGTGCAGTGTCATTCAGTGTAGTGTAGTGGAGTGTAGTGTAGTGTAATTAGCGTAGTGTAGTGTAGCGTAATGTAAATGTAGTATTGTTGTTGTTGTAGTTGTAGTTGTAGTTGTGGTTGTGGTTGTGGTTAGTGTAGTGTAGTGTAGTGTAGTGGAATGTAGTGTAGTGTAGTGTAATGTAGTGTAGTGTAATGTAATTGGGTGTAGTGGAATGTAGTGTAGTGTAGTGTAATGTAATGTAGTGTAATTGAGTGTAGTCTAGTGGAGTGTAGTGGAGTGTAGTGTAGTGTCGTGGAATGTAGTGTAGTGTAATGTAGTGTAGTGGAGTGTAGTGTAGTGTAATGTAGTGTAGCGTAATGTAGAATGTAGTGTAATGTAGTGTAATGTAGTGTAGTGTAGTGGAGTGTAATGTAATGTAGTGTATTGTAGTGTAGTGGAATGTGGTGTAGTGTGGTTTAATCGAGTGTAATTAAATGTAATTAAGTGTAATTGAGTGTAGTGTAGAGTAGTGGAGCCTAGTGGAGTGTAGTGGAGTGTAGTGTAGTGTAGTGGAATGTAGTGAAGGTGTAGTTGTAGTGTAGTGTATTGGAGTGTAGTGTGGTGTAGTGGTGGATGTGGTTGAAAATGCTACAAAACCTTCACGTTTTCTCACTTTTGACAAGGTGCACATTCCCTTGCGCCTGCCACGCGAAACAACATCTGAACCTCCAAAAGTGGTCCGAACCCCTGGTGTGTTTCACATTTTCACTTCGAAATGTGCTTCGCGCCACAACGGCGTGCACTTTTTCGACATCTCAACTTCCAAAAGTGGTCCGACAATGGTGTTTTGTGCATTTTGACTTGGAAATGTGCTTCGCGCCACAACGGCGTGCACTTTTTCGACATCTCAACTTCCAAAAGTGGTCCGACAATGGTGTGTTTTGTGCATTTTGACTTGGAAATGTGCTTCGCGCCACAACGGCGTGCACTTTTTCGACATCTCCCAAAAGTGGTCCGACAATGGTGTGTTTTGTACATTTTGACTTCGAAACGTGCTTGGCGCCACAACGGCGTGCACTTTTTCAACAGTTCAACTCTTAAAAGTGATCCGAAGCTGAGGTGTTTTGTACATTTTGACTTCGAAATGTGCTTCGCGCCACGATGGCGTGCAATTCTTCATCTTTCATTTGGCCAGATGGCTCCGTGCCCGCCGCTTTAGCGAGCCTACTTTTCCACCTTCCGGAGCCACAAACCATTGGAAAAACAGAGTGTTTCGCGGCTTTCCTACCTTCTGACTCTTTCTCTTCTCTGATCTTCTCTCTTCTACTCTTCTTTTCTCTCTGGCTCTTCCCGTCTCTGCTTTTCATCTGTCAAATATTGTCGGAAGTTTGACGCCTAAACTTCCTTCGATCATTATGTAGCTATATAACTATATAATCATGTTCATCCTTATCCTCATCCTTACCCTCACCTTCATCATGCGTTGAGTAACTCATGGTTCTGTGGTCCAGGGGGCGGGACCGTGGGGAAAAACATGTTGAATCATGTTTAACCAATGTGGTTGAACAGACCCTGGGCACGGCTTTGTGAAACCTAAAAGATTTTCAACTTCACAATACGTAAATCCCCTTTCCATCCCCGAAATTCACCTTTCGACCCTCCAAATCATTGCCAGAGATGCTGGGTTTCTTGGTTTCTCTTGGTTTCTCTTGATTTCTCTGGGTGCCTGTAGAGATGTGGGTCACTCTAGTGCGGACATCCCTGGTGACTTTGCACTCCTCAAGCCCCCGGCTCTGAGGAATCAGTGTTTCGGCGCATTTTAGGTGGGTGAAGGGACTTGCTTGGGCGCCGCACTGACTATATAATTGTTGTTGATTGGGACTCAACCAAGAAAACAACTAAGTATTGAAACCAACAAATGCAGGGGTGAAACCAGCTAATCATGCTTGTCTGCAAGGTCTAAGTTCTATGGAAAAAGGGGCTGGCAGATTGAGAATGCCATTGATTCAGCTTTGGGCCTGGGATTGTTTGCACAATGCTTTGGCCATGGCTGAATTGCTGATAGAAAACTGCCCCGTAAGAGAGCACGTGCCGTAGTTAGTCCTGCAGAACACAGTTTTCGTACGTGTCCTCATTGTCCATCTGGTATGACATCATTGGCAATTCTGGTAAGAAAAGGAACTTTGTAAGAAATACATAAGGGCAACATGACATGAATCAAGAGCCAACACTGAGATGTTTCGCACAAACCTGACAGGCTATCATGCAAAGGCTCATAGTACCTTTAATATATATATATATATACATATGAGATGATATAAATGAAATATTTGATTTACATGGTTTTAAACAAATTCTTGTCTAGCCGCTCAAAACAAATCCGGGATGTGCGAGACAAGCACTAAGAAGATGAATAAATCATAGGGCTTGCAGTTATCCGTTCTCCTTTCTTCTCTCGATTTGCCCCCTAGATTCAAAGAGGTGAAGGCAAAAATGGTTGAAAGTATAGAGAGAGTGGATAGAGTGGATTAATACAGTTAACACAGGATTAACACAAGCAGCTGCCAGCGTAACTTGAAAGCGGACCTCCAGCTAGTGTACGCTTGTGCATAGTCTTGACACGGCATGGGCAACGGGTTTTGTGTTGCCGTTGCTGTCATTCCAAGGTACGCTCAAGGCTGGCTCTGGGTCAGGATGAGCGAGTTGCGTCAGTGTGCAGTCATGGCTTGCAACGGTTGTTTGTGAAAGTCCAGCTGAGAGGAAGTGGTACGATGATGTTGCAGTGCAGGATTTGATGGATATTTGATGGCTATTTGATGGCTATTTGATGACTATTTTGATGGCAATCATGGCAGTTCCTCTATAAATTGGATACAAATTTGGTCTGTCGCAATCGCTGAGCCCTGTAGCAGTGAACCATTCCGGGCAACTTCAGCGGCCAGGTCAAGCAATGGTAAGCATAGATCCCATGAGGTAAAGACAGGTAAAGATGTCAGATGTTCTATGGCATTGTTCAAAAATGTTCAAATCAAATTAAGGATAGATCATGATAGATCATATGATTCATATGTGAAGGCTAGAGAACGGTCAACGCCAAATACTTCGCCAGTCCTTTTAATCACATGTGCACAGCCGGTGTGCACCTACACTTCCCAAATCCTTTTTGTCGTGTATGCAGAGGGAGCGGTTAAGCAGGGAAGCCGGAGCTAGAGCTGTTGAAACCTATAATGAAAGCCGGCATTTTGCTGAATTCCATTGAGTTCTGAATAGATTTGACATGATTTGACATCGTCAGGCAAAACCATTTTAATATATTTTAATTACCTGTATTATTCTGTATTATATCTCCTGTATTGCATGGATCACTCTTTCGCAACAACATCCTCGTTCAATAGAAGACCTGCTGGAAGCATCTTGAAGGCTGGACGCTTGACTCGAAGCTTCAGTAACCTCTTGTCGGGATCGAAGAAGGTTGCCGGGCAGGAGATGCTGGGATGCCCGGGGTGGAGATAGAAAAGAACATGATGTAAAACTGTAAAACCCATAAAAATCCACAAATATAAAGCTCTTACATTAAGTGAACATATTTATCTATATATATATATACGTATATTATAATTAATTCTGTAAATATACATGGGTCTGATCATAGAAACTATATAGAAACTATCATGTACTGTAGATGCTCTGCAATTAGCCACGGCAGTTTGTTGGTCTGGCAGTTTGCCAGATCCATGTAGAACTGGGATCCTGCCCGGTCTTGCCCATTGGCAACCTGACTATTCCAGGATGGGGAAAGTAGCACCAGTCGCGACATGCTTGCCACAAGGCATTCAAGTGATTTCAGCGACTCGGCCGCAGAAAAAGGGAAGTGCAGCATGGTAGGGTTCTTGTGAGTGGTCATTGGTTATCATTGGGTTGCTGATGATACTGATGATAGCAAAACATCTTCAGTGCCAGTGCTGAGGTCTGGAAGCGGGTCGCGACGAAATTCCTGTTGAGGCAAGGCCAGATTCTCCGAAACCCCCACGATGGACTGGTGCTAAGAGGGCAGTTGCACGGCAGCATAGCTGGCATAGCTTTTAAAGGAACCATGGAAAAAGGAACATATCGGAAACTGGGACGCAGATGATTGCCGCAATTCTATTGTCCACACCATTGCATATGCTGTGCCATTTCTTGAATCTTATGATGAGTAGTTGTTGTCGATTTTTGAAGACACCTCCAGTTCTAAGTTCTAGGTCGCTGGGCCTGGCACCTGCACCCACCAACTTGGAAGAATTCACCGGACAAAACAGACTAAGGTTGAAGATCTCCAGACTATTTGATCTACCAAGCGGCTGCGCTGTTCAGGAATTTGTCGGCTGTGCTGTTCGTGGAATCTAAGTTTGGGCTGCTTTCACTGTCCACGGAAAGCAACTCCAGGAATGCTCAGAACCAAAGGTTTTCGGCATCATACTTATTTTGCAGCTGTGCAATCTCGTTCAGCTTTTGATCGCCGTCTTCATTTCCCTAGTAGGAAACGCGTTGGGATCCCTGAAAAAATGCTGAAACTGTAGGCACCTCATAATTTCCAGTCCAAATTGAGAGGGTGTTCAGGAGGCAGAACAACCACCGTTTCAGGGATCAGGGACTCACTTGCCAACCACCGTACTGTGGAGACGTAAATGATGTAATACCAAGACCGCCAACGCTCTGCTATGTGCTTCTTGTGCCCTGCGATTATTGACAAATCTTGCCCAGGAAGCCAGGGAGCCAATGAATTAGGTCTGAGTCTAAGTAGATAGAAATAAATGAATGTGCTTTTATATGCATATTTAATCTAACAATATTGTATCTAACGTGCGTGTATACATATACACACACATATATATATATATAAACATACACGTGCGTGTATTTACTTGATTTTGTTTGTATATTCGGATGCCAGGGGGCAGCAAGGGTTGCAGAATATGCACGACTAAAAAAGCACAGCACCCACCAACGGATTGAGTACACCAATCAGACTCCAGGGCCCCAGCAGACGAAGCCTTCACCAAACTGCAGGCAGTTCATTGCCTGCGAACATTTTCGCGTTGCTCCGGGGGTTTATGCTTAAAACAATGCAGGCGACCGAGGGTTCAGCCTTTGGTTTTAACAGCATCGAATTATCTGCATTTTGAACAGCATCATCATCATCATCATCATCATCATCATCCTCGTCATCGTCATCGTCACTGCCACGGCTATCGTCATCGCCACGAGCATCATCCTCATCATTAAACAACTATCATCAGTGTTTTTACACAGAACTACCAGAACTCCTGTCTGATTTGTGATGTTCGCCTTGCATTTCGGATTTCTTTTTGAGCACGAAACCCAGCTTGGGTTGTTTGGCCAAAGTCCGGCAGCAACCGCTCTTCGAGGAGCGTCCTTCCAGTCCTGTCATGATTTGGCGCATGACACGCTGGAAAGCCAGCAACTGTGCCAGTAAAACCTGCCAAATGACCACAGCTACTCATGGCCATATACATTTTGTCATGAAGCCACCAGAAGATACTAGAAGCAATTCAGGAAGGCTCCAGCCCCTGCGGAAATAGGAGGTGTTTTCATGGCATGGGCTGTGCCTCCTGCAGCTTAGCAGCTCAAGATATGCCAAGTTGTGCCACCTTGAACTTGAGTTGGCATCCCAAACACTGTGCTATGATCCATGATATTGAGAGAAATCTCAGTACGGTAGCTGGCAGATATGCTATACTGCAAGCACACATTTGCCTCATTTCACCCAACTCATTCCGAAAACCAACTAGATCAAGAGTCTTGAATCAATTGAACTTGCCTGCAGCACAGGGAGTTACCCGGGACGCACCAATTGGATAGGCTGCATCCCGTCTGACCGCCATGGGCCGTGGGATGACGGCAACGAGTCACGCTGCATGGTGCTGCCTTCGTTCCAGTTGCGAAAGCCGCACATTGCCTCTACTTGGCAGCAGGTCTGGATGGTCTGGCGGTCGAGGGAAACATGATCTGTGGATATCTGTGGATATCCGTGGTGGATACGACGCCAAAAAAAACATGGACCATACTAAGCCAAGACTGGGGTGAATGAGCTCATCATTGCCTGTACAAAGGCGTATATATATATATATTTCATCATTTTTCAAGGTTTACTGTAGGCATAGCATTGATGCAGGGACGAAATCCTGTTTCATGATCGATGTTTCCTGTTTGCTTCATGCGCCTGAAGCAAACATACAATCGCAGTACCCCTGCCTTTATGTGGAAATATCCCAATAATGCTATGAAACTCCAGCTTGAGGAGGTGCAAGAGTGCCAGAAAAGATCAAACAAGTACAGAGAGTATAGATATTGATATTGCCGTATCTACAATGAACTTCCCCAAGGCAACCTTAAATCAGAGGGCATACAAGTCTTAACTAAAGAACTCATGATCAAATTATCGTCCTATCGTCCTATCAGCCAGCGGCACTTATCGTTTCAGGACCTGGCTGGGCAGCTGGCAGGCGATGGAAGCATTGCAGGTGCAGCCTCTGTGGGTTTCTATCGGATAGGCGCGTCCAAAATTAGGATGGTGCGCGCACGGACAGACAGACAGGCAGACAGACACACACACACACGTACATATTAATATCTATATTATCTATATCAATATCTATAGCAATATCCAATATGTATAATTATGTATATATATATATATATGTACATACGTTTGATTGTCTATCTATCTGTATATGCAGATATATGCAGGGTATATGATGTATGTATATATTTATATACATGTCGTATATATATATATATATGTATATACATGTTCCGTATATACTATACGATACAATGTACATATAGTAAATATGTTGTGCATATAAATATATGTATATATATATATATATATGTGCATTATATATACCAATACTGCAAACATGTTATCGTGCCCCAGAGGGGTTATATATATATATATCCCAGCAATGGGATGGGGTTCCCCTGAATTCCCTGACCAGCAAAGGTACAAGTCTAGATTGTTTAAAGGCGTGAATGCCTGCAGCGGTTGGTGACATGACTTGACCCTTTTGGCAATCCATTCGCTCATGCTGATTTCACCAAATTTCACCAGTGATGCATGTACCCCAAAAAAGGACGCTGCATAATCCCCAACAAACAGAAATCATATCCAACCATTGTTTTTGCGCGTTCTTTCCCGTAATTCTCAGGCTTGCAGAGCCAACGCACGGAGCCTTCCCAGTGCACAGAAGATCTCTCAGAGAACTGCGGCAGCATTGCGTGCAGTGGTGGTGCTGGTGGCTAGATATGTATAGATATGTTTCAATGATGGAGTGGAGAGAGAATGAGAAGTCCCTGAAAGTGCTGAATCACACTTCCCCCTGGTTTTCTTATGTGCTTTTGTTTCGTGAATCCAGATTTAGGCGCTGTCAGATTTGGGCGCACCTTACATTGTACCTGTAAGGACTTGGCGATGCCATTTATTGGTGCTCGAGCACTATAAAGTCACCCGGCTGATCTTATTTCCAGAGCGACTGAGCCTACCCGGATCTACCCGGTACCTCGACCTGTCACTGAAACCTCACAACACCTGGATGATCCATCATGAATCAACCAACATAGAACTCCCAAGTGCCTTTAGTGCCTTTGTAGAATTTTGGACAGAGACAGATACCACGTTCTTCCAGGTGATTCTCCAGAGGGTTTGGTGGTTTGAGGCCAGCTGGATGGTGCGAAAGGACAAACGGGAGAGGCTGTGCTCCCTCCATGTGGGAGGAGATGCGGCACTCTCAGCAACTTGGCGGAGAAAGCTCATCACTTTTCCCATTTCTCCTGGAATGTTTGAGACGCCTTTAGGCGTAATTGAGTCACAAGCTCATCAACTGGGCAGGATGGGTTATGAAACTGACATGAACAATAAAGAAACACGTAGATTTATATAATAAGGAGTAATGATATTGCACGTTCTTTTCTAAATCTTTCTTTGAAGATCAGCTGTCAGGTACTCGCATTGAACCACCTGCTGGCGCCAGAGCCCCACAGCTGGCGATGGCCACTTTGGCAGCTGTGGCATCGGATGTGATGGGATGTGAAAATGGATGTAATGGATGGTCTATGATAGACTTGATATTGCGCCATGCTCATGACGAGTGGAGAAGCCTTGGCTGTTGGAGCTGCTTTGGAATATTTTGGAATCAAATCTCCGTTGAGCAACACACTTCAGTTTAAGTCTTGACTATGAGATCTAAATTATAAGATGATATAAGATGATATAAGCATATCCGAGCAAGAAACTCTAAACCTGAGTACGACCCAGTGGGCACAACTATCCACTGAGAAAACCCACCCATTTTCACCTCCGACCTATGGGGCTTGTGGACCATTGTGATGCACCAGGCGAGCTGCCTCGGAGAACCCACAAATGGAGAACGGCCTTGCGGATTGGAGTGAGCTGGAGGAGTCGTTTCTCGATGGTCCGATAACTGATTTCGGAAGATTTCTTTAGGTATACGGCAGACTGAGCTCTTATAATTTATGTAGCAACTGAAAGTTACTGTTATTTGTTGATGATGCAAGTGACATGCGTTGCCAGAAGGCACAAGAGCTGGGTGATCCAAGGGCAAGGGCCAAGTTCCATTGTTTGAACACACCACTTGGGCGACATTCGGCAGCATGGCACATACTGCAACCATCCCAGGCTGTTCCTACACTTTGCTGGAAATTGGTTTCACAACATGTCGGACAGCGGGAGGCTGCTGGCCGCCTGTTTGAATTGGCTATGCCTTTGAGATCTTTAAGCTTGGTCCCTTGCAACAAGCTCCATGCGGTCAAGATCCCGAAGCAAAATCTGTAATCAGGAGAGTTGCCTTAGGCCGAGCAGTTGCCAGAGGTATAGTGGAATTCTCCTAATGCCGTTTCAGACTCCAGGTGCCAAAAAACTAACTTGGAGACCAAACACCGGAGCTGAGGACGGGCAGTTGTGGAATGGCAAGGAGTACTGGAAATGGATCGGTCTGGGTCGACATGACTTGGCCACTCGACTGGCTCATGTCTCCATAGTGTCCACCTTGCCAGAAAGCCCAGAGGTGGGCAGTGGGCAGGGGATTTTCACGGATACTGCCAAATGCTATATTATAATGAGATCTAATGAGTCAATGAACATGAACCATTTTCGGATTTTGGGTTGTTTTTGTTGGACCTGTGCATGTATTATCATGTATTGTGGGCTTCCTTTTCTCCTGAATCTTGCTTTCACAACAGCAACTCTGTAGTTTCCTACTGTAGCTGTGTCTAGGATTGTGGTTGTGCATCAGCATGAGATCTCCTGGTTCCAATTCTACATTTGAATATGTAACCCAGATAGAACTTTAGGATGCCTCCTGTTTTTGTTTTTGCCTGTATAACGCTGGCCTTTACGGGCAACATTTTTGCTGGCGGTATTGTAGCGGGCATTCTCCATCCGATTGCATGCATGGACAGGCCGGTACTCTTGCGGCTTTCGTGGCAGCCATAGGAGCCTTTGCTTTGACACTTGGGAATGTACTCTTTGGTTAAGAAGACATGAGCCATCAGTAACCATCATTGTGATATTGTGATATATTGTGAATTATTGTGATATATTGATATATATTGTGATATGATAACGGCGCAACAGACGGTTGTCAACGATTGGGAGTTTAGGGATGTTTTTCGGGGTCAGACTCGTGAGCCAAGCCATGTGCAGCATGCAGCCAGGAGGGCTTCGTGTTGGTGGCTGCCTGGTGTGTCAGTTGCCGTGGAAGACTCTGGCTGCATTGGCTGCTTGACAGGTTGGAGCTATGGCAGCTATGGGATGCTTTGGGGATGTTGGCCATTGATGGTGGTTTCTGCAGGGGTTCCCACCACACACCTAGGACCTAGCAGGCTCCCAAGGAAATACCGGCATCAATGACTTCAATATGATCCCGGCAACTGTGTAACTCACAATCTTCTTTGACATCGAAATGTCTTAGAATTTTGAGGCGGCGCTTATTTGTCTCCTAAGGCCAGTGGATTGTTCCAACAGACAGAGCTCTGCGCAGTTCCTACCATGAATGGCGACAGCTACAAGGTGCAAGCAGACATGTGAAATCACACAAAACACATTCACTTGAAATGCCTGGGCAGTGTGTTGGCTACTGTTGAGCAGCGCAGCCTGGACTTCTGATATTTGTTTTGCGTGAGTGAGAGCCTTGAACATTTTTTATTCGTGCCTCCAGACCAAAGACGCTACTTCACCCAACCGTATCAATCACCAAGTTGATCATCGGAAGCATTGTTGCTAGCGGAGGTGTTTTCTGAACCAGCCAGGGATGATCAACAACCATAACAACCCAGTGGTCTTCATATTGTCTTCTTGATGTTTTGCATACTTAGGTAGGATGTTCCATGATTTCTAGCATTCCTAGGGTTTATGATACGTTATAATTATAATTATATAGTTTATATATAATGTTGTATAGATATGCGGATATGCGTAATTAGGTGTAGCCGCTTAGCCTGTTTGTGTATGTCATGTCGGGCTCTTCCGCACCTTGCCAGGTCTTCGTGGTAGGTCTCCATTTCCAAGGTCTGGAACCAGCACTGCTGCAGGCCCTGAATGCCCGCATCAGTACCTTGGCCAAAGTGATGCTAAGTGGCACACACCAAGCTTTACAAGATGAATTAGTTAGGTGAAGTAGAAGGAAGTCGTGGCGTGGTTTTATAGATGTTTTACACTTGTGATATTTTGTTTTTGCATTTTTGAAAAGCAGGTCCGTTCCTCCAGCATCCTCCAGCAATAACATCAAAAAACAAAAAGACAAGAGTCCTGGGTGAGATGGATTTAGTCGATGCTGGCAGGCAAAGAAGTGGCAGGGAAGCAAAGCCCCGAGTTGTTGAATGACTGGGCCAAAGCTGCGCAGCCTACACTGGAAGGCAGTGCAAATAGGGTGGTGCTGAGCATTCCATTGATAAGTCCAGCGACAGAGTTGTCCTGTGGCAGTTGCCTCGAATTGCCCTGCGCAGATGATGTTTCGGCGTGGTGGAGCAGACTGCCTCGGCATGAGCAAATCGAAAGGCCAATTGGTGCTGGGTTTTTGTTAGGAAAATGCAACACACTGGGCTGCTTCAGCAATATTTTTTTGCTGCTCAAGCTCCATTCGCTGCTGCAGGATTCAAATTGCACGCATCCCACTGCCAAAGCACCTGCTGTGGGGTCGCTGTGCCGAGTGGCTGTTGGAGGCACTTCCTGCTGGTCGAGGCCTGAAACCTTCCATGGGTATCCACAACAGTTTCAGCAACGACCCAAGCCCAGGATGCAGAGACCCTGGCACGAGACCGGCCAAACGGCAGCGGCAGGAAATCGGGTGGTGGCACCTGGAGCGTAGCCGTTGCTTGGCAGAACGGCAGCTCTGTGGCTGTGCTGACGTTTGGTGCCTTGTGGGCCCAACCCGGGAAGTACTGGATCCATCTGTACCCATTCCGTTACCCAACCCATCCCAACTTCAACATTGAACTTTTGCAGAGCAATCTTCCGGCTTTCAAACTGTTTTGACTCATTTGGGACTTATCCCAATACACAACTTATGATTTGCATTGAGAAACTAGTTCCCTCTCGGGTTCGGCCAATTTTCTCGGTTCGCTACTGCCCGTAGTATCTCAACATATCCCAACAGAAGTGAAGGGGTTGGACACCGTTCTGCCCCGTGCCTGTGTCAATTTGCCCTCGTTGCAGGCTCCGACCACCGGACCTTGGCTCAGAGCTTAGAGACCTCGCCCGCAGCAGCGAGGACAATTGCAGAAAGCGCTTGGAGAGAAACTCGGCGCAGACGTGGAGCTGGAGCTCTCTTGAGCTTAGATGAGCTTAGTGGAGCTGGAGTCGTTCATAGTCTGTCGATGTTTTCCTGATTTATTCTGGAAGCAGGCTCGGAGCAGAAAGTAGAGTGCGGATAGGTGCTATTGATAGTATTTGTGTAAATATGGTAGAACGATGGCCGATGGCATTTCAGTGATACTCTCGCAAGCCGGCAGCTACAATCAGAGCAAGAAATCAGAAGTGGCAATGTCCGCCAAAAACATTTTTTGCCACATCACAATGGAACTAAATGCCTTTTGGCAGATGCCAAGGGAGTTACAAGCATGCCATGTACCACACCCCGCAACTTGGCCCTAGGAAATCAAATTGCCAAGCCGTCAGCAGTGCCTTGCCATGGAGATTTCTTGGGCTTGTCCCATACGACCTGGGGCCCCAAAATCGGTAAACATCCGTCGTCATCCATCCGTCATCCGTCCATATTTTAAATATGCCATCCGGATCCATCCGGGCAATCGCATGGAGCGACTTCAACCTGAGAATGTTTGGAAGTTTGGATACGTATTGGACGCGTGCAATTTGTGCAAGTTAGCCGAGTCAAGCATCATCTAAGATATCTAAGCAAACCTTTCTCAAAATCAAGTAACTAGTGATTTTAGAGATTAGCAAGTGCTGTGCTCCTTCAACTTGCTAACGGAGAAGGCTTTGCGCAAAACTTGAAGTTCCCTCCAGCTTGGGAGGATATGGGAGGATTGTTCTTCCATATTCTTTCCCTGTCTGCATCTCATATCCTCCCAAGCCGAGGTTTGTGAACTCCATCGTTGCAGATCGGGACCTCCTGCAAGCCCTGCTGGACCGTTCTGGTGCAGTTGGTCTTCCCGAGCACCTCGGCAGGACTTGGTTTTCACCACTTCTTTATAGAATTGGAATGAATTGGATATGTATATATAGTTATATATATATAGATTTCTACGGCCGCTGATTTACTTTGCTGAATAAATTGATTTGATTGGGTAGCATTTGTAGGGTATTGTAGCTAAAGGTTGGGTTTCATGGTCACGGACTCCCTGAGAAGGTGTTGAAACCAGCCAGAGGCCCCAAGTTCTGGCAGTTGTTAGCGGTCCAAAAGCACTGGGACTTGACAGTGGATGGGGGATGTTGGGGGCTGCTGATGGTACCCATCGAGGTTGCCAGAGGCATTGCCTGCCACGTTGCTTTGGATGGTGCAACTCTTGAGCTCTTTGCTGCCTGAACGCCTGGTGGATGAAGGCGGGGTAAACAACAGCTGGAAAGAACATCTTGTGTGCTGTTGGGTGAGGTGGTTTCGCAGGGTATCAGATGTTGAGGTTTGGAACCTTGACTTCTCTCTTCCAAGCTTGTGAGGGCCAAACAGTGAGCGGTTTTGAACTTGCAGAGGGATGGTCACATCTTGTAGAAACATTGTGCGGATTGTAAACGTTTGTCCTGCAACAGATTTGAATAGATTTGATTTTGGGGTTTGAGATAAATTAGCGGCAAGCAATTCCCAGAGCACGGAGATTATGCAGGTCATGCATCGCTTTCCTACCAGCGTTGTGGCTTGGTGGCACCAGCTTGCCGACAGTGTGATATGTCTGTGATGCCTTAGACAGTGGACAGTTGTAGATTCCAAGAGCAATGTCCAGTGACACTTTTTGCACATTTTCAGGACCTCAATGGGGTGCCCCCTTAAAAGCAGTTGCTTGTCAGCCAGCAATCTGGCCTCGCTGTAAAAGTGAGAGGGCCATTGCACAGAATTTGGGCTGATTTCTGCTGGCGGCACTGTTAGCGACCCCATAGGAAAACGCCAATTTTATATTTCCCCCTTCATGTTGGTAACGTTAGCCCTAGCATCCCACACATGTACAAGGAGGCACATGGGGGGTTTTTGGGGGTTTGGCGGAGTGTAATAACGTTCTTCTCGCATCCGTTTTTTTTTTTGCTTTCTTATATGCTTTCTTTTGTGTTTGGAATTTCTGAGACGCTCTTGATGCTACGCTGCTGACATGTTCTTGGAACTTCTGAGACGCTCTTGATTCTACGCTGCTGACCTGTTCATGGAACTCCTGAGGCGCTCTTGATGCTACACTCCTGACATGTTCTTGGAACTTCTGGGACGCTCTTGATGCTACGCTGCTGACATGTTCTTGGAACTTCTGAGACGCTCTTGATTCTACGCTGCTGACATGTTCTTGGAACTTCTGGGGCGCTCTTGATGCTACGCTGCTGACATGTTCTTGGGACTTCTGGGGCGCTCTTGATGCTACGCTGCTGACATGTTCTTGGAACTTTTGAGACGCTCTTGACGCTACGCTGCCGACATGTTCTTGGAACTTTTGAGACGCTCTTGGTGCTACGCTGCTGGCCTGTTCCTGGAACTTCTGGGGCGCTCTTGATGCTACGCTGCTGACATGTTCTTGGAACTTCTGAGGGGCTCTTGATGCTACGCTGCTGACATGTTCTTGGAACTTCTGGGGCGCTCTTGATGCTCCGCTTCTGACATGTTCTTGGAACTTCGGAGATGCTCTTGATGCTACGCTGCTGACATGATCTTGGAACTTCTGAGGCGCTCTTGATGCTACGCTGCTGACATGTTCTTGGAACTCCTGGGGCGCTCTTGATGCTACGCTGCTAACATGTTCTTGGAACTTCTGAGACGCTCTTGATTCTACGCTGCTGACATGTTCTTGGAACTTCTTGGGCGCTCTTGATGCTACGCTGCTGACATGTTCTTGGAACTTCTGAGCGCTCTTGGTGCTACGCTGCTGACATGTTCTTGGAACTTCTGAGGCGCTCTTGATGCCATGCTGCTGGCATGTTCTTGGAACTTCAGACGCTCTTGATGCTACGCTGCTGACATGTTCTTGGAACTTTTTGGGGCGCTCTTGATGCTACGCTGCTGACATGTTCTTGGAACTTCTGGGGCGCTCTTGATGCTACGCTGCTGGCATGTTCTTGGAACTTCTGGGGCGCTCTTGATGCTACGCTGCTGACATGTTCTTGGAACTTCTGAGACGCTCGTGATGCTACGCTGCTGACATGTTCTTGGAACTTCTGGGGCGCTCTTGATGCTACGCTGCTGACATGTTCTTGGAACTTCTGGGACGCTCTGGAACTTCTGTGACGCTCTTGATGCTACGCTGCTGACATGTTCTTGGAACTTCTGGGGCGCTCTTGATGCTACGCTGCTGACATGTTCTTGGAACTTCTGGGACGCTCTTGATGCTACGCTGCTGACATGTTCTTGGAACTTCTGGGGCGCTCTTGATGCTATGCTGCTGACATGTTCTTGGAACTTCTTGGGCGCTCTTGATGCTACGCTGCTGACATGTTCTTGGAACTCCTGGGGCGCTCTTGATGCTACGCTGCTGAAACGCTGATAGACCTGGCCAAGATGGCAAACAAATGCCGCTGAAGATGAGGAAAAAACACTTTTGCTTGAAAGCGACCTCGAATCACATTTTTTGAAAAATAATCCTTTGAAATGCACAATTCCAATGGTTTAAAAAAAGGCCTCGCCCTCCTGTAAATACCAACGATTCCTGCTGTTGAAGATGAGTGGGTACTTGTGGAAATGCCGGAAAACGCAGGATTTTTGAAAGATGACTTATGACGCCATGTGCAAATTTCCCAGGGTCGCTGTTGGCGCCGGTACCTGGTTTCTCTTGGCTACGAATCCCAACGGTCCCTATTTGGAGAGGTGTTTGCTTGACATCAGACTGCGCTACGTGGCTACGGAAGATGGGTCTGGCGTCCGGACGCCCCAGTCATGGAGACGGCCGAATTGGGTTTGAACTTAGGCAGCTTGGGTATCCCATCAGACTCATCAGGCAGGTTTCAGCACAATAAAGTGTAGCTGCATGTTGTCATCCACATCCTTTCCAGCTCTTGTGAATGATGTGACCTCAGACCCTACAATTCACACAGAGGTTCCATTGTCGCCCTCCCCACACAGAATATAATATATAGAACTGCAATGAAATTCAAGACAGCCACTGGCAGGGCTGAGATTTTGCAAGTTCCAACGGTGCGGTGCCCAAGGTCCTTCCACTAGACTAAGGCGCAAATTGCACAAACAGAAAGCGCCTCACTAGTCATCCCTCATTCTGCCACAATACCGTCCAAGGTCGTGTCCTAAGTCTAAACAACCAAATTTGATCAAATTTGCACTTCCAACGAAACTCTTGCAGATCCCTTCAGATTTCCCGTTGTTAGAAGCAAACAGAACTAGGATAGCCATGGATAGCCTCTATTTTTGGGAGCCTTCTTTCACCGCTCTGCTATGAAGGATCCAGAAGTGGAGGCTGTCGGCTCGCATTCAGAAGGCCTGGTAAAGCCGACATGTCACAATATGCCACAATTATCCGATGCCTTGGAATTCGTGGTCCCCAGCCTTTGCAACTGCGGGTGGCAGATGGTGGCAGGACAGGCCAACCTTGCTCTACTGGAGCTTTCTCCTGACCGCTTGGGCTTAGCTGCCTGGAGCTCAGGATAGCGGCTTCCAAGCGGCTTCCAGGACACTTGGAGAGTGATTAGAAGAACTTGGGGTCAGTCGGATTCTTCATTTTTATAATATCATTTAAATCATATATTTAAATGACATACAGTACAGTAATGTACAGTATGTATTTGTGTAAATTTCAGTCAGCTGATATGGTCTTGGTATATCAGTGAACTGTAGGCTGCACCTTTTCTTTGACTTATCTCCTTTGGCCAGGGCCAGCAATCGAGCACTGCGTGAATCTTGGGATGCCAGGTGCAGATCTCTTAGGTCTCAGCTTTGTTGGCTTACAGGAGGCCGGCCAGGTAGGTAAGAGGAGATGGCTTAATCAAGCTGCGCACTAGACAAAGCGAGAATACCACCCATGCATCCAACGAACATGAATCAACATGAATCAACATGAATCAACATGAATCAACATGAATCAACATGAATCAACATGAATCAACAAACACAATCTGCAGAATCATGAGTGACTAGCCTACTGCTGGGCATGCATGCGTACAGAAGCTGATGAAACTGTAAATACTGAACCACAAAACAAGCCTTTGGCGATTCGGACTGGCTGGCTGGCGACCTGAGATGACCTGAGCCCCGTTGGCGCCATGGTGGGCCCAGTGGTAGACTCAGGTCCAAAGGATATTGATGCAGTTTTGGTAGTGCCGTGGTGAAGCATATACTGATTATATCTGATTATATCTGATTATATCTGATTATATCTGATTATATCTGATTATATCTGATTATATCTGATTATACTGTGACTGTAACAATGTTTTATCATGTTTTATGAAACATGTGGTGTGGTGACTCAAATGCTATCATGTAAGATCGGGGCGTTGAATTAAGTTCGAGTTGGTGTGAACTTTTGGACGGACAGAGTTTCCTTTCGTTGCTGAGGTCTTCACCAAGCTCCGGCCATGGACTCTCAGGTGGACTGCGTTTGGAAACAGAATCTAGGATGGCATGCTGATCATGCTCAAAGTTCAATCAGAAACCCTTTCTTTCTCGACTCCTAAGCGTTTCAGTTTAGTTTGGACATCTCAGATTTATCGCTGGTTGCAGCATGTTCAGGCTGCTCGGTGTCTATCTCTGCAGTGCTTGCGCTGTGAGCCTCTTCGTGAAGGGCTTTCCGTGGCCAAAGATGCCACGGAAGGCATTGCCTCGGCCTGCCACAGAGCGTGAGGTGCGCCGGTTGTGGGTTGTATGAGTGAGAAGCAACCCCAACTTCCACTGACAGTGTGCCATTGGGGAAAGGAAACCCCACACAGACGAAAAGAGGCCACACAGACATTTGGGAAGTGGTGCCCAGTTGCCAAGGGGGACATGGTCTATGTCAAGTTCATCGAGCTGGCACGAACCCAGGGTGCATCAGAGGCTTGGGGGCTAGCTGGGGCCATGACAGGGCAATTTGCCCTACGCCCAATGCTTGCTATTTTTGTTTTTTTCCATGAAACATCAGTAGCAAATGAAAGCGGACAATATCTGAGAGACATTCATATATCTGGGTAAATTATAACGACCTCACTGTTCTCCCTCACTGGAATCATGGTTAGTAAAGGGAATCATCCCCAAATGGGCCTTAATTATTAATAATTCAGGTTAGTGACATATAATTTACCCAGATATATGAAGCACACTGATACCATCTGATACCCACAGGTCGCACTGTCATCACCTGTCATGGTGCAGTTGCCGTTTTGAAGGCCTTGACTTTTGCCTCCAAAGAGATGCCCAAAAAGTTCTGCAACTTGCATGACCCAAGGGACGGGCAGTTTCCACCCAACCACAAGTGGCCTGGTGCAAGTTGTTGCTTTTCATGGCAATGCCAGGATAGATGGTGGGCCAAGATGGGGCAAAAATATGCAAACATGGGCAAAAGATGGCAAACGCCCTCAGAGTGAAACTGATAAACAGTTTTGTATTTTGAGATCACCAGGCCAAGTTGAATGGATTACTGTAGTATGAAATCTCATGAAATGTTGTGGTATAGGCCACCAAACACCTCACGCAACCTGCTGGATGAGTCGGACGAATTGCGGAGTGTTAAGCTTCTGAGTTTGAAACTTCAAAGCCTCTCTTATCCTCTCTTGCTCCTGCCTTGCCTCGCTCTCTCTCCTTGCTTCTCTTCTTCCGCATTGCAATGATAGTGAGTTATAATATGTTATAATTATCAAATTATATCAGCAAAGCAAGGTTTTAGTTGCATAGCTCTCACCTTTTGTGAGGCATGAACTTCGGCAACTTGACGCCTGCCTGCACAGTCAGAAGCCTCTTTTATTTGTGTATAGATGTACTAATGTACTTATCGTCTTTTGTTCAAGATGATTCACTTGGTCTGAGCACTTCCGGATATCAGGAAAAAAGCAGCTGCCTTCTTGGCATGTCAGCAGCAAACTTCTGAACGATCGGGAAAGGGCGAGAGTCACCTGGACACCCTGGATCCCAATGAGCTGCCGCTGTTGGTCTCAACGGCCATGAAACTGGAAGTCTGTAGCAAATGTGCTAAGGGCTCCGTAAAGAAAGGCCTGAGGATTGGGGGGTCAGACTGCAATGATGTTGTCCATTCAAGGGTTGGTACTGTATGTTGATATTGCTTCTTTATACACACGTGAGAGAGGTTTGTAATGTTTTGTGTTCTGTGTCGTGCAAAGGCCAATTCAACGTATATAGTTTAATCAGGCATCCAGGATCCAGGTGGAATAATATCCAGCGTGACTTTGTCACAGTAGATTCAGTAGATCATTGATGCCACAGCACATGACGATGCAAACATGTTTCAACAGTGTTGTTTCTACAGATCCATGACGTCAAGCGAACGTCAAATCTGCCCATGGCTGCTCCACTTGGACGTTGCCAGGTGGATTTGACCCATTGAGCAAGCTGCAGGGCCTGGCAGAAGAGCTGCAGATGGCAGTGACGCCAGCAGGATGCTTCAAAGAATGAGCCCTGGCTTGGGATGGCTTGGGATCTGGGGGATGGGTAGGGCCCAGTGGGTGGGGCCCAGTGCCCAGTGTCCCAGGAGAAGGGCCCCAAAAAAGTGACCAGCAAGAAGATGTTGAGGGAGAAGTGTAGATACGCGGGTGCCACATCTCTCTATGCACAGTGAAACTGCATGGCAGTTGCTGCAGAGGATGGTGAGTACATGGTGGCAATCATAAGATGAACATGGCAAACCGAACATCTTCGGACAGAAGTCGGCCAAACAGACATGCACTGCCATTCAGATGCAGCACCCCGGCGCACCCCACTTCTTTTCTGAGGCAAGCAGGGTCCTAATGCCAGATTGGAAACTTGACAAAATTGGTGCATGGTTTGGAGGTCTGAGGCAGGTCCTTCTACGAGCTGGTTTTCCCTTCCACTTTTGCTGAGTCTCACAAACACAGTCATGTTTTGGAAATCAAGCTGGATAACCCTAAATCATCCAAGATTTCACCACCATGCTTCTTTCACAGACATTGTGTCTTTCTAAATCTTTCTAAACACTTTACCCTACAATCCAGAAGCTCAAAAGTATGGAAGACAGACAGAGCTGAGGTACAGCCTGATGAGGACACACTGGGATCCCTTCAGCACAGCCTGACTTAGAATGGGATGTTCAAGACACGTGCTGTAGAACCTGGCCCCACGCACATTTCCAGTTTCAGATGCTGAGTGCTGCAACAAGATTCTGAATTCTGAAGTGCAACATTCGCCTACTTCACTGTTTGATTCGCCTAGAACAGTTTGAAAGCCACTGCAACTCTGACTTCATATGGTCGAGGTTTTGCAGCAACTTGATGCGCTTCGTGGTTTCATGACCACCAGGGTGACATGCACCAACTCCGCTTGGCAGGAGTCTGTTGTTGAGAGTTTTCATGGGATCGATAGCGAAGCTGCTGTGCGGAGACCTGGGCATTCTAGGTATGCAGCGACCCAATATGATTTGATTCATATTTGATTCAATATGTAAAATGATTGGCTGGCTCCAACAGAGAATAGGGACGTCAACTCTTGCCCCTCAGGTCTGGAAAACTCAGAAGCCCAGTCACACCGTCACGCCTCGTGCTTGTTGCAATGAGCCAAGGCTGCCCGAGTGGTTGACAGCATCAGAAGCGTGGCAAGAGCAGGACTGCAATGCCCGAAAAAGCAATGTTTAATCACAAGCGCTGGTACAAAAGGCGTCCAATCATTCATTTTCCTAACCCCACCTCCTGTTCAACACGGTCAACACGTTGATGTGTGATCATTGCCCAACCCCATGCTGTAAGGACAGGAAGCTTCGAAAGCCGCGCTGCCAAGAGGTAGCAGTGATGGGCTCAGGTTTAATCATTTAATCCAAGGTATATCGATTTGTATTGCGCAATGCTTCAGATTTTGCACGTGGTTTCCGATGGTTTCCGAATGTTTCCTGGGCCCAGAGATGCCCAGAGTCATCCCACAGGTTCGCAGGTCGCCCCGAGGCCACCAAAGGACCAGGGACTGGCTGTCCAGGCTGTACAAGAGTGACATGATCAGGATATATCAGGATATATCAGGATAATATAATGGCATATAAAGATATATAAAGATATAAAGATATATAAAGATATATAAAGGCTTGGAGTCCGTGCGTTCAGAATGTGAAGCTTCATCAGGAGGCATGACTGAAACCAGCTGCAGGTACTAAATCCAACAGCATTTGTCAGCCGGATGCGGCTAGCGTTGACATTGACATCACATCAAAAACATATAAAACATATAAATAAATAAATCAATAAAATTAGAAAAATAAATAAATAAACAAAAAAAAAATTATATATATTTATACAATTATATATATATATATAGCTAATATCAAATATATAATACTCCTCTAGGAGGCGAGACGGTTGCAGGTCCATGGCCCTTGGACCCGTCGTAGACACTACAGGACAAAGAAAAGCGTGATCGTGTGCGGAAGTCCGTGGAGAGCCGAGTGGCAAACATCCTTGAGGGCTTGCCGGTGCGCCTTCGGGCGCTGGTGCTCTCTTTTTTGAAGCTTAAAGATCACTGCACTTTTTTGCTTCATCACTGCAGTCTTTTTAATTTCCATCAGGCTTGCGAATGAAATTATTGATGTCATCGTTCGGAGGTACGCTTTGCAGGAGAAGATCTTCTTTGACTCCTTTAGCTGGCTAGCTTTATTTGGTAGTGTAGTCCACAGATATCCATAGTCCTCCATAGTCAATGTGGCAACGTTTCTCCTTAGTGGCCCCGTGGCTGCTGGAAGTTTTAACTGCACCTACAGCTTTCTCCACTGGGAGTTACGAAGTCAGTCCTTGGAAGCCTGGCTCCAGTGCATTCAGAGAAGACTCAGCGGTTTTCGGTGCATGGAGAAAGGATGAGAAAGGAAAGGTATGGCTGGCCATTGCACTTGTAGGAATGAGGAGCTAAGATGGGACTGGTCAAGATTTCTGTTCAGTAGTATCTAAAGAGCAAAAGAGGTAAGATATTGTAAGACTCCTCACACAGTCACTGTGCCTGGGGTCACCACTGTCATCCGTTTAATATGTTTAATTGGACCCAGGCAGCAATGACAAGTTGGCACGGTTCCAGTGGTGGGTGCAATATTTGGTCTAGATCCAGAGCCCTCACAACATGACTGTCATGACTGATCTCATCATCATTGGACTGGTTGCATTACCCGGTTGACTGATGTTGACTGCAGGCAACAAACAAACCATTGATCAATGTCCATTGCCTAGGTCGAGTGGGAGTTGAACTCCAAGTGGCGTTTTCACCTCAGCTGCGCCAAGAATATCTCAGCGGTGTCTCCCCCGTAGTTTCCACATGTTTCCACCAGCTTACAGCTATAGGGTATAATCATGTACAATCATGTACAATCAGTATAGTCCTACAACGGTCTTCTTTGCCGTGACTGTCAGCAGTTGGAGCTAGGTCTTGACTTGGTGAGAGTCGACACCTCAACATTTGCCATGAGAACGTGGACTTGAACTGTGTGGTGTCACAAGCACAGCACTCTTTGAAGTCGCGGGGGGGGCGAGCTCCCTCAGCTTCCCCTGGTACTTTTCCAGAAATCCAGAAAACACCTGTTCACCTTAGGAAAGCTACAGCATGCTACAGCCAAGCCTCTTCAGAGTTGACTCACAACTGACTTTGGGATCTTTGGGCGCATCTGAACGCACTGAGGCAGTGTACCTGGCACTCAGGGTGCTAGTCACAGGCAAGGCGGAATGTTGCAGGGGTCATCACAGGTCCACAAGAGAAGAGTCCACGATGATCGCATAAGTGAATGGACAATATGAACAATATGAACATCTGGTCACAATTAGTCACTTAAAATTGTCACAAAATCATCTAAACTGGGGCGGGCATGTGCGGGCATTTGGATTTTGGATGTTGTGGCTGGGTTTTCTGGACCTCACAGAGGTGGATCCATTGACTGCCTCAGGTGGTGACCTGGTGATTCACTTGCCGAGCTGCTTCACTCGCTTCACTGCAACAGTGCGCCCACCAGCAAACGTTTGGAAGGAGGAGTTGTGTTTTCATTTCCTGACGTTTTCTGACTATATGAAATGTTTAGTTAATCCTGGTTAGTCAGTTCACGCCCGAAAATATCGACGGGGTTGAATTCATGCTTGAAAACAATGTATCGCTGAACCGAAACATCCAAAGTTCAAAACTGAAGAGGACAGAGCAGATGTTTGAGTAGTTTCTTGGCACCAGATGATACAAGTGCAGGTCTTGGCCATCTTGGCAGTGAATTTTGGGCGAATCGCTCTTGCCCAGCCACCTGTGCCTTGCTTGGGATATTTTGCAAAAGGCCAGAACTTTGCATCTCTTGAGCTTCTCACTAGTTGTGAGGACAATTGACATTTTGTTTTATGTTGTTCACCTTTGCACATGAAAAACAACTGTTGACGTAGAATACTAACATCCGCGGCCAAGATGCAAAATAGCAAAACGATGAAACACAATGAAATTCAATAAAATCAATAAATCATAAAAACAATATAACACATAATGTATAGCATGTATAGCATGTATAGCACAGGTACAGTGCAACCAATCCCGGAACAGCTGGGATGGTCCAAGTCCAGTGACTCTTCCCAGCGCCCCAGCTGCGACGGAGTCCTAGGTGCCCTGTGCGGGCTGCTTTGTTGTTTGCAATGCCTACCAAGCAGCTTCAGGCTGGGGAGATTTGGAGACGTTTCTTCCAAACATTTACACAATTCCAAACATATCCACACCTTTCCACGCATGATATCGCATGATCATATTATTTTGCTATATTTTGCTATTCTACTTTCCTCGCCAGTTGCAGCCGGGGCTTCCAGCTGTGTCTTGCATGCATTGTGGTACGAACCTCAGGGCGAATCGTCAGGGTGTGGAACACGTGGGACATCTCCGACTGTCAGTTTAGCTGGCATAGCTGGGCTTCCGAGGTCCAAGATGAAGACTCTCAAGGGCACCTCAGTTGCACAGGCCAGTGTGGAAAGACACTTGATGCGGGAGGTGGGACCGCCATACTCAAAGTGTTGCTGGTGGGCTGTCATGCTTTGAATTCTGCAGGTCTTGCCTGGCAGCCTGCTGAGCAACACTGCAGGCGGCCTCAGAAGGCCGCGGATATGCTGATCACTCTGATGATCATTCAAACAGATTTAAAATTTACTGTAGTCATTATTTAGACATATTCAAACATGTTTGACGCATTCAAGAATAATATTCACGCAAGCAGTCATGAAAATTGACCACAACTTGATCACAACTGCCACCGGTATCCACTAATGAAACCATGACCAAAGCTCGGTGGTCGTCGCAGGTACCTCACAGATGTGAACAATCGCATGATGGACTGCGAGCTGAGCCGTGAGCTGGAAGCTCAGGGTGGCAGGGAAGGGGGAGCATCCCAGACTGACTTAAATTGGGACGTAAGATTGCACCTTTCTCCAATTGCAGAATGCCAACAAGACATAACAAGACCCCAAAGGAGGCTCCATGAAGTCCAACAGGCTTTGATCAATGCTTCCGATCATTTCCTGTTTGTGTCTTTGGTCACAGAAAGCCACACTTTGAGGCCTGGACCGATTCCCACTACCAACGCAGGCAGTGCCGCAAGACTGGTGGTGGCTCACTTGGAGGATGCACCAGTGCTATACCCAAGGGAAGGAAGAACACTATTGTGTTTGCACATTTTTGCTGGACACATTTGCCTTGTCACAGATATCTACAGTGAAAACATGGAGACCTACATGCAAAATTATGCAAACAGCAATGACAATAACATCAATAACAACAGGCATTTGCAACATCAACACCTCATAACACCTCAAATCTTCTTCCCAGTTCGGGGTGCAAATGGGTTTACATTTGCCTGGGAGATTTGCTGCGGCACCTGACGGAGACGAGAATCAAGTCAGATGCTCAGTACGGGGGGCATTCCGTTGTGCTGCACAAGTGGCTTTGGTACAGGCACTTGGATACTTGCCTCGTTTGAGCATGTTTGAACCACATATAAATACAATTAAATACATATAATATATTATAATATACACACATATTCAACCTCATATTTATATAAATAATTTTAGATATATCTACAGTACATATTAATCATATGCCATCATATGCCATACAGTATGTATATATATATTTATAATTATATATAATATATATATATATATAGATATATAGATATATACACACATATATACTTATGTAGAATCGGAGACGTTGGATGGCCTTGGTTGCTTTTTTGCACGTGAATCGTGAGATTCACTTTGTCATTGAGTCAGTTCACCCGAAGCTGTTTCAGCTCCCAGCCCTGGAAAGCTGCGCGGCCGCTGATCGCGGAGAGCTACTTCCAGGCGGGGGGCAGACAGGCCAAGTGAATCCAAGTGGCCAAACCAGGTGCCACTTCCCGATGATTGGACATGGGCTTGAGCTGGCCTTGATGAATTTCCGCAGCTTGACTAGCCGTCTAGCCACTACACAAGATGAGGCGACACATGGCCACACTCAGTGTTGAGAAATCACACTGTTCACAATATCACATGATATCATATGATATCATATCATATCATTCAGAAGTTCTGAGAAGCAAATACGGAAGCCCCGTAGGTCTTATAGATTTGATGCTTAAGGTTCCAGGTTCCATCATGTTCCATAAAAAATTCCTTCAAGCCGCACCCATGGCCAAATGGCGGATGAATCGTCCTGGGCATTGACTTGGGGCAATCTTCAGGAGATTTTTCAGGAATGTGAGCAACTGGGATTTTGCTTCAGGATTCATTTGGATCATTTGGTGAAAGCTTTGGGGGCCCGAGCAATGACAGCCAGATCACCTCAAGTCCTTTTCCTACGAACGGCATGGAAGTCTGGAGCTTCCAGGGCCCAACCTTCAGGGAATGTGGCCCCCATGGCTACTAGTCTTCCTCACTATTCATATAGCGTGTGTGTGTGTGCGTGTTTTTGGGGGATTGACAAGTCCATACATTCAGTGACTTGATTCGCTTGATTGTGAGGCAGAGCGGCTTTCCTTGTGCCGGTTTTCGCTCTGGCATTTTCATTGAGACTGGAACCTTCTTGGGCCAAACAGTGGTGGCACTCTCCCTACATTTCTCTGAACTGCACACGATCGAACTGAGTACTGAGTGTTTTGAGGCAGCCAGGCTTTTTGCTTGGAAGGCAGCACGGCCGATTCACTACCACTTGGGAAATTCCATCAAAGTACTGAAAACGATCCTTCCAAAGGTCTCAGGTCCAACAGTGCTGTACTTGGACGCTCATTGGTCTGGCTCCGTTACGAAAGGCTTGGAGGAAGAGATTCCTTTGATGAAGGAGTTGGGTTTCTAATCTAATCTTGAAAGAGACATGTTTTCTCTTTTGTGGGGTGTTTCATGTGTTTCTATAGTGTATGGGGATCCGGATGTAGTGATACCATTCCGTAGCAACAACATGCAACAGTATGCAACAGCATGCAACAGCTTGCAACAGCTTGCAACAGCTACACCCCTAAAGAGTTCCTTTGCTAGTGGATCATGGAAACTTTGTTGGGTCTAGATATGGCTCGATGATGCTTGTATTTCCAGCGGACTAATCACTGTATTGTAGGTTTAGCGGCAATGCTTCTTTTGTATTTTTCCATCATTTCCCAACCAGGTTTGATCAATGACTTGCTTCCACATGCTTCATTGGTCATCATCGATGACTTGGATCTTTTCGCCAAGATCAACAGCTTTGAAGCCATAGACGGCCAGACTGGAAGGGTCACTGGATCTCACTCAGCAGATTGGCGCTCCATTACTTGCGACTCCGTGCAGATGAGCTGCTCTACTCGAGCGCATGGCACCTGGGATCTGCTTCAGATGATCTTTCTTTTTGTGCTGGTGGGGGTGTTGAAACATATCATGCAGACGATACAAACATCATCAACCGTCAACCATCCCATACCATCGCTATTTTATGCCGTGAAAGCAAGACTCTCCCTACCCATTCCCTACCCTTTGCAACTGATCTCGCAGGTTGCTTCAAGATGAAAACGCAAAATCGCTTCATCATCATGTTGCGTCCTGCAGGTGGCAGATCTGCAGAGACGCCTGCAGATTCGCCAGTGGATCAGCCCAGGTCCTTCTGTCAGGACCTGGTTTTGAGATCTATGTATGGAGCAGCTGTTGGAGCAACCCCAGCTGGGACTTTGACCTGCCAAGATCCACAAAAAACAGTGGAATCAGTATGGATCTCAGTACCTGGTTCAGCTTTGCAAGCTGAAGGTCTTGAGAAAGTACGATCTCACGGACGCTGGTGGAAGCAAATTGCGGATGCGATTGAGAGGGAATATCGTAATAGTTTGGGACATGCATCCAACAGTTTTAAGGATCTGCAGGATCGAATGCAAGAAGAACGGACGAAGACTGCAAAGCTTTGTCAGAAATCCGTCGAACATGTCTTGACGCGGGAGCAGTCCATTGCCTTGCATGATGATTTGATCCAAGCTTTCCTGGACAAGAATTTCCAGACGAGATTAGCAGCCAGTTGGGCAGCAGCAAAGGGAGACAAAACCAAAGAACAGAAATGCAAGCGTGAACTGTGCTTGCCCTTTCAACTTCCTATCATGGAGAAGTACGGTTTTGAAAGGTCTGAGAAGGGCGTATTTAAGTGCTTGTGGTCCATTCGCACAACTTTTTTCAACTTTGCAACAATTGAAGATGTTGACAAAGAGATGCAGCTCAAGGCCGTTTTCTTGGACTTCCTGGTGAATCCGGGGAAGGATCTTCATCCAGATGTGATTCCATTTGCCGAACACATCTATCCCAAGGGATATGCCGCTGTGTGCCAGATCCGGACAAGCACCCTAAAGTAAGGTAACTAAGTTCAAGACATTTCAGCTGAAATCGCGGGATCAAACTGCGTGCCTTGTTGGGCCACATGGTTGCCCCCATGCCGAAGATTGGTCAGTGGGTCCACTACACAATCACCAGGGACTCGCCTTTCGCTTAGCCGAACTCTTCGAGAAGGCGATGGAGAGAGAGTTCACAGCTGGAAAGCTGATGCTAGCCTGCTAGCCTGCTAGCCTGCTAGCCTGCTAGTCTGCTAGCCTCTGAAACTGAGATGTTGATAACCAGCACTGATGACATCATGATGACATCATCAATGAGAACATATATGAGAACTAGAATCAAGCACCAGACTCAGACGGTATTAACAGAGCAGAGTGGCTATGAGTGGCTGGTGTTTCTGAAGTACAGCTGGTCAAAAAGTCAATGGGTGGTGTTGCGCGCTTCTGGAAACGGGATATACATAAAATATATATTGTACACTCTATGGCTATATGATATAATGAAATCCTTTTAGCCTTCTATAGGCAACGGGTGCAAGCATCATCTTGAATGTTAGGAAGGTCAGACATGGTAAAGTGCATCAAGTGCATGCCAGGAATTCATGTCTGTTTTGAACAAAAGGTTTCTCAGCAGCCACCCGAATTACTGTATCCATGGTGATCAAAGACCTTTCCTCGAAAACCTGTTGGATATAGTTTGATCATGTATGATCCATCCTGACCCATCCATTTCCATGGAATCCTTTCATGGGATACTGATGGCTACTGGTGGCTATGATGACTACTGATGGCTGCACAGATGGCACTTAATGCATTCGTTGCACCGCCTCGATGCATTGGAGGATCCCCGGCAATGCAAGCGCCCGTGCCAGTCACGCTGCGTACGTTCAATGAGCCGGTGAAGGCGTGTTCATGTGGGGCTGTGATGCTCAGAGGTCGCCAGGTATAGGACAGTGAGAAATGATGGCAAATGATGGGAAATGGGAAATGGGAAATGTCATGAATGTCATCATCAAACGGATTTAGTCCCAAACTGGAGAGATTCTTGGGTTGCATTGGCAGGGTACGATGGTTCAGGCTCGGGACTGTGGTAATCTGCAGACTCAGCTGAGATCAGACCACATTCGGATCCATCGTTTCAGGCATGTGGTGCTCCATTGGCCACTACGTCATCCGCGCCAAGTTTGTCTCACGATGTGGTGCGGCCGTTGTTTCTAGGAGATGGGTTAGATCTGGTTAGATAGTCTCAAGGTGTACAGGGTGTGTCATTTGGCCAATACCATTCAGCATAAAGTAAGATTGGTTGAGGTGACATAATATCAATAATATCATAGATCATATAGATCATAGATTCATAGATGATAATAGCTTTTCCATATCCGAGGTGTTCACATGTGACCCTTGTGATTCCATGTGGAAATGATGTGAAATTTTGGCAGCTACTAGTATGATGCATGAGTCATGATCAATAACAGGCTGTTCGATGCTTTTGGCCCATTCAGGGCAAGTAACAGTTCAAGATGTTTAGTGAACATACCCTTTGAATCCTATTTGGATATCGATATTGTTTGCAAAGGATGATTGGGGATGTGAAAAGAGGTGGCCTGGACGCTTGCGTGATCCTTGAGCAATTGTTTCCAAAGTCTGTCCCCGAACATGAAAGTCTTTTGACATACTATGCGGCTCGAATGCAGGCCCAAATGCTTCTAGGAGCCTTGCTATTCTTTGATAGATGTACTATACATATGTGTATTTTCAATCAATAGTGAGGATGCTTGTTGTGCAACCTCATTTGACCCTCCACAAAAATTGTTCCAGGATCATTGGTGCTTGGCCTTCTACCATCGATTCCGCAGCGCCGGAAATACAAAGTCGTGCCACTGGCAGAGGAGGTGTGAAGACATCGGGCAAGAAGTTCCGCCAGCTTTCTGATATTTAAGATTGCATTTCTATGGGGTGGCAGCTTTGGACTTGCATTGGCCATTTGTATTCTGATTTTATGTGTTTTTTAAATATAATAAGTATAGATATAAATGATATAAATACATATTCCAATACACACACACACATATATATATATATATAAATGTGCGTGTTTGTGTGTATAATTCTTTCGCCATTACCCCGAGGATATCCAGAAGGTCTGTGTCCTGTGGACCACTCCAGGTGGAAATGGAGTACCAGAAATGGGAAATATGCCAAGTCCATTCCAAGTCCCCTTTTCTTGGGGTTTTCAACTGTTGTTTGCATTCGTGCAGAGTCTGGAGTGCATGCAGAGTTTTTTTTTTACATACTGACATGCTCAGAGCCCCTGGCTCACAAAATTGCAGGCTAACGAACACATGGCATCATTAGATTCCGATTTATTTTTTCAACCTTGACGCTTGGCCAAAAAGAGCGGCCTTTTTGTGGGTCACTGCTTGGGTGCAGGAAAGCAAATCGGAGGCTCCTGCGCCAAGTGAATCTTCCTCAGATGCAGGCCGTGTCAAGACAGTGGACGCTCGTCATGCTTAGTGATCTTAGCGTACCTGCTTTGGGCCCCAAGGTTGCTTGAAAGGCCGCAGATGCTTACCTGATTTACCTACCATGACCATGACCCTAGAAAAAGCCTATGCGGTACAATGTGGATACAACATGAATGCTACAAAATAAAAATAAGGAGAATATATGCTATATGTCTCTTATGTCCTGTCATATTCCTAAAGAGGAACTTGATGCATGATGATCGTGTCCGATTTCTTGGGGATTATCATGAATTATGATTCTTCAGTCACATCGGATTGGCCTCCAGTCCCACCACAGCATTTCGGATTTCGATTGGGCTGCTATCTTATCCTGTCCCTAGGTTCAGCGCCTCACCAATGCAGAGACTTCGCTCCAGCGCTGGAGTTATGTGGCACCTTGGTTGCCAACAATGTTTACCGATCACATCCGATCACTGGGACGAAGGATGAGAGAATCCAACCCAGCATGATGCCATGATGCTCCCAGGCAGAGGTGATCTATACCTGGCTGGGATTGATCTCCTTATCCGTGGCTGGCTGGGCCACTTATTCTCTGGGAGGCCTGCAACTCGAAGCTTGACGTTTTGAGCCTAAGGTGATATCAAGTGGGTTCCCGGTACAGATGTAGTGCAGCAAACAAGCAATATTATTATGTCATGACATGTCATTCTATGATATACTATGTATTCTACATGTGCATAGTAGGGATCATCTTGGCATATATGATATTCCCTGCATGGTCTGTGACACTCAATCAATTTTTAGGTCAGGCCCCAAGCATTTGTTGTAGCTGACCTGCTGGGTGTGGTAAAAAGCAACACACAGCAACCACAAGCAAACTCACCTAGCATCAGTGCCACTTTTCAGCAGGTCTTCGGATCTTCAATACCGCAGGGGGCTTGGGCATTGTATCAGTGGGCTTGAGTGTGGCGACTTGGCTGTGGACCATCTGCCAACGCGAAGACTTGTGATTCGACGTGATTCGATGTTGATATGATCTGCATGTCCAGGATTCTAGCCACCAACGTGTACACACGAGGGATCACGAGGGCCTTTGGAGTGTTACCTTCAGCCACCTGCAATCGCTACTTGTTGCAAAGCTTTCTGACACAGGCGTGCTCCCTAGTTGGCTGGTTCCAAGCACGCAGCTGCAGGTGGGATGGTGTTTGATGGTTATGGATGGTTTGGATTCTGTGGGATTGCAGTTGAAGAATCGAAGTTCTTCGCATCAGACTCTCAGATTTCCCAACCCCAATCCACATCTATCTATCAATCTATGTCTATCTAATTCTCTCAATAGATCCAATATGATCTAAAATAATACCATCTATCTACAGTAATATCTGCAGTATCTATACTTACACACACTTGAACACACACACAGATATATATTTTTATAATATATATATATAATTATATATAGATACTAACTAGTACATATATAAAGGTCTACATAGACAGTCAGCCACTAGCACCTCCAGGCACCTGGGCCGCCGCTGTGGCATGGCGGCTGGCTCCCTGGAGCCTGGAGGACCGGTGAATCCCAAGATGTCGCAGCCCGCATCGGAGTGGATGGGGATGGATGGGGCCTCCCAAACATGAACAGGAACTGTATTGGTGAGGATTGGTGAGGATTGGTGAGGATTATAATGGATTATATCAGGGTATGAGATACATATAATTACTATATAATTACTATATAATGTTATATGCATTTAGAATGCATTTTGGTATTTGTATATAAAAGATAATTTTGGGGATGTTCATGTCGATGCCACATTTTTTGGTTGTGAACAATTTGGACCCATGGCAGTTTCACCGAAGTCTCTTTGTCACTCCCTCATGGACAGTAATGGTATTCATATGTATTCATGGTTTGCCATGGTGCTCACATGATACGGTCGACATATGTCTAAATGTATCCTCTGGTAAACTAACATAGCTATGGAAAATCACCATTTTTAATGGGAAAATCCACTATAAATCACCATTTTCAATAGCTATTTTGACATAACCAGAGGGTAAACACCATTTCTGCTGCCACCTTTGGGTGCCCTGGACTCCGAGGCTCCCTGCTCTAGCTGCCATTGAAGCCAACCTCCGGGCACGGCAACGCACCGCAGCGCTGGGAGCGTTGTTCGCCGTGGTGGGACTGCAGAGCATGGTTGGCCTCATGGTGACCAAGGCAGGCTACGGCTGGAAAAAAGAACCGCTTTGGCAAAGGATCCGTGATTCACCTTCACCTGAACGAACATGACATAATTATATGTGTATATACATAATATTTATACATATATACATATATTATACATATATTATACATATATTATACATATATTATACATATATTTTACATATACATATATACATAAATACATATATTACACATTTATAATATGACATGCTTACTCATTGACAAGGAATGTAGAAATAAGTGGAAAGAAACTGAATTCTGTGATAGTGTCATAATGTCTCATATAGTGTCCAGAAATACTTCCGCCTTGTCATAGCCAGGCCGGATATTCTTGTTGCCTTCGAGGTGGACAGGGATAGGATTTTGATCTTTTGATATCTCCGGCCGGACGAGGTGCTGGCTACCTCCGGCGGCTTCTCACCATCACCAGGCGCTGACAAGTCACAAAGAGATCGTTGGGCATGCGATGGAAATCCATCGGTTGATAGGGATGAATTCTCTAGCTACAAAAAATCCCATTGTGGCAGCCATGTTTTTTTTGGCCATTGTTGGAGGTCATATTGTCAGTATTTGTCAGTAATTGGATGTCATTAGTGCGTTAACCTTCCACGGTTCTTGCATCAGTTTGCTCCAATTCCTGCCTCTCCCACAGTGCAATGCATCACCTGGCTGCAGGCATCAATCTTGACATTTTTACCCTACTGGCGGTATCCAACTCTGCCCTTGGGCATGTGCTTGCGGGTGGTCTTGCAGCAGTGCAGCAAGGCCCACCTGAACGTGGTTTTCTATACTGATGCCTTGCTTGGGTTCGGTTCGCTGCATTTGTGGGATGATGGTTGTAACAGCACGTTGAATTCTAGGAACACCTGCGCAGTACTGTATGCTCATGTGGATTGAGTCTTCCCTTTTGACGTGCTTGCAAAAGCACTCGTTTGTTACAGAGTTTGCGAATGTTTCTGTCCGAGTACCTTTCTATATATATATATATACATATACATACATATATATATATATATACATACATATATACACATACATGCATACATATATATATATATATTGAGTGTTCTATCTATGCATATCTATGCCTTTCAAAACCATAAGGATAATATATGACGCACACACACACACAGAGACACAAACACTCTTGCTCACATACATGCATAGAATATCATAGAATGATTTATATTACTTATATAAATAATTACATAGGAACTCCCAAAGATAGAACAGTAATTCCAGGATGATATATATATATAGATGATATTTGTGGACTTCATATTTCCAGGTGTCCCACTTTTTAACCAAATATATTTTGGGTTGCTTTATTGCTCGGTCTTATGTACGTAATAAATATATATATATATTAATACATAAATCCATACAAACATAAATAATGAATATATATATATATATATATTATGTATAATATACACATACATACATATGATACATATGTATATTCTAGACAGCCACCTTACAAATAAGAGACCCTCCATCCTTGGGCCAGGCTCCTTGCCCAAGATCTCTAGCAGCTCGACGGATCCCTTCCAGGGCTGGGCGCGCTGAGGTGCAGTCTTCCGGCGGTCAAGGATGGATGAAACACGCTAAACAACGATGAATGACGACTATTTTATACGAGTTTATACTATTTTAAAGTCCCGAAAAAGTTCCGAAAAAGCTATATAGAATATTATGGAATATAGAACTATGATATATGATGATACATTTGATGTTTCCATACGGTGTATATTTACGTGTGATGTGTATTCATGATTTGATATGGCAGTTTTGGAGCCGGAAAGTGCCCAAAGGCAGGAGGATATTGCTGGGGTTGCTGATTCTGGATGCGGTGCCGCAATAGCCGGCACGGCTTGATTTAAGATCGAAGGATTGCTTTGCTGAAAAGCCGCAGTGGTAGCTGTGTCATTTTTGATCAGTAATAGGTGTTACGAATACCAGAACCACGTTTGGCTGAAGCCCCTCAAGGATGTAGCAGAATGGAGTGAGCGGTTCGGAAATGTTGGGAAGAAGAGGGCTTCAAAGTTGGAATCTGACATCATCTTGCCATGGCTTGCAGCTTTAATTTAATTCAGTCGCATTTGTGGATGATAAGAATGATCGATGAAAACTGAGTTTTCACGAGCTGCGAATGCACCATGAAGCAATCATACTTGAGCGACTAGCTGAGCTTTGAATGCCATGCTTCGCTGGGCATTGCTGATGCCTACAGTGGCTTATGAAAGCCCCTTGCGCTACTATCGCATTGTTGACTTTTGGCTTTCAGTCCCAACTCATTGCTGAGGGTTGGCTGGAATCTGGAGGGGTATCAGTATCATCTTCCATCTTTTTCACTGGGCTTGCGGACAGTTTCAAGAACAATTTGTTCCCACCTGTATGCTCCATTTTTTGTGCTCCATTTTTAGTAGGTTTCTCGATAGATTCCAGTTTTACTATGCCAGTTTCTGTAACGTGCAAAGTTCTGCTGAAAGATGAGAGTCGTTCTAAACCCCATGTTAATAGATTTTTCCCAAAAGCATCTTCGATGCTTGGGTTCTCGTTTAGTTGTTTAACCGCGTGGGGGAGCGACCTGGCTCGAACGGTGGTGTGCGGACGGCGTGGGTGCAAGGGAAAGGAAAGGAAAGGAAAGGAAGGGAAAGGAAAGGAAAGGAAAGGAAAGGAAGGGAAAGGAAGGGAAAGGAAGGGAAAGGAAGGGAAAGGAAGGGAAAGGAAGGGACAGGAAGGGAAAGGAAGGGAAAGGAAGGGAAAGGAAGGGAAAGGAAGGGAAACGAAGGGAAAGGAAGGGAAAGGAAGGGAAAGGAAGGGAAAGGAAGGGAAAGGAAGGGAAAGGAAGGGAAAGGATGGGAAAGGAAGGGAAAGGAAGGGAAAGGATGGGAAAGGAAGGGACAGGAAGGGAAAGGAAGGGAAGGAAGGGAAAGGAAGGGAAAGGAAGGGAAAGGAAGGGACAGGAAGGGAAAGGAAGGGAAAGAAGGAAAGGATGAAGGAAAGGAAGGAAGGAAGGGAAAGGAAGGGAAAGGAAGGGAAAGGAAGGGAAAGGAAGGGAAAGGAAGGGAAAGGAAGGGAAAGGAAGGGAAAGGAAGGGAAACGAAGGAAAAAGGAAGGGAAAGGAAGGAAAAAGGAAGGAAAAAGGAAGGGAAAGGAAGGAAAAAGGAAGGAAAAAGGAAGGTAAAGGAAGGGAAAGGAAGGGAAAGGAAGGGAAAGGAAGGGAAAGGAAGGGAAAGGAAGGGAAAGGATGGGAAAGGAAGGGAAAGGAAGGGAAAGGATGGGAAAGGAAGGGACAGGAAGGGAAAGGAAGGGACAGGAAGGGAAAGGAAGGGAAAGGATGGGAAAGGAAGGAAAAAGGAAAGGAAGGGAAAGGAAGGGAAAGGATGGGAAAGGAAGGGAAAGGAAGGAAAAGGGAGGAAAGGAACGGAAAGGAAGAGAAAGGAAGGGACAGGAAGGGAAAGGAAGGGAAAGGATGGGAAAGGAAGGAAAAGGGAAGGAGAAGAAGCCGCTGGTGATGAGCGACCTTGGCTGCGCGGACGGCTGCGGACGGCAAATGGGTGCGGAGAACTGCGCGGACGGCTGCGGACGGCGTGGGTGCAAGGGGGTGGCTGGAAAGGGGTGGGGAGAAGAAGCCGCTGGTGATGAGCGACCTTGGCTGCGCGGACGGCTGCGGACGGCAAATGGGTGCGGAGAACTGCAGCGCGGACGGCTGCGGGCGGCGTGGGTGCAAGGGGGTGGCTGGAAATGGGTGGGGAAAAGAAGCCGCTGGTGATGAGCGACCTTGGCTGCGCGGACGGCTGCGGACGGCAAATGGGTGCGGAGAACTGCGTGGACGGCTGCGGACGGCGTGGGTGGAACGGAGTGGCTGGAAATGGGTGGGGAGAAGAAGCCGCTGGTGATGAGCGACCTTGGCTGCGCGGACGGCTGCGGACGGCAAATGGGGGCGGAGAACTGCGCGGACGGCTGCGGACGGCGTGGGTGCAAGGGGGTGGCTGGAAATGGGTGGGGAGAAGAAGCCGCTGGTGATGAGCGACCTTGGCTGCGCGGACGGCTGCGGACGGCAAATGGGTGCGGAGAACTGCGCGGATGGCTGCGGACGGCGTGGGTGCAAGGGGGTTGCTGGAAATGGGTGGGGAGAAGAAGCCGCTGGTGATGAGCGACCTTGGCTGCGCGGACGGCTGCGGACGGCAAATGGGTGCGGAGAACTGCGCGGACGGCTGCGGACGGCGTGGGTGCAAGGGGGTGGCTGGAAATGGGTGGGGGGAGAAGAAGCCGCTGGTGATGAGCGACCTTGGCTGCGCGGACGGCTGCGGACGGCAAATGGGTGCGGAGAACTGCGTGGACGGCTGCGGACGGCGTGGGTGCAAGGGGGTGGCTGGAAATGGGTGGGGAGAAGAAGCCGCTGGTGAACGAGCTTGGCTGCGCGGACGGCTGCGGACAGCAAATGGGTGCGGAGAACTGCGTGGACGGCTGCGGACGGCGTGGGTGCAACGGAGTGGTTGGAAATGGGTGGGGAGAAGAAGCCGCTGGTGATGAGCGACCTTGGCTGCGCGGACGGCTGCGGACGGCAAATGGGTGAGGAGAACTGCGTGGACGGCTGCGGACGGCGTGGGTGCAACGGAGTGGCTGGAAATGGGTGGGGAGAAGAAGCCGCTGGTGATGAGCGACCTTGGCTGCGTGGACGGCTGCGGACGGCAAATGGGTGCGGAGAACTGCGCGGACGGCTGCGGATGGCGTGGGTGCAAGGGGGTGGCTGGAAAGGGTGGGGAGAAGAAGCCG